ACAACAATCTGACAGTTTCTTTTGTGAGCTGAAAATCTTCAGTTGATTCTTCGAATCGGGAGCTTGTGATGCATCACGATTCTCTCGTTTTGTGGCATGACTAGATAATGAATGTATCGACACTTTTCTGGCTAAACACTTGAACTGACTATTTTGTGAAGTGGCTCACGCTTTGTTCGCTTCTTGCATTCTTCTCTTCTGCGTCTTCTCCTTTTTTGGAGAATGAAATGCGTTTGGTGTGTGCGCTTACATCAAATTCCAAGCTTTCTTTTTCTTTTTCTTCTTCTTCGTCTTCGTTCAATTTCCTTTTCATTTGATTTAAAAGCCAATGTTATTAGGCGCTATAAATAGGTAATAAATTCTCTTTTGATTCGAGTGAATTTTCTCGGTACGAAACACTTGATTTTGGTGTGCTTATGAGTGAGAGACCAACATCGTTGAATGATGCAGCAAGACCACCATCGATTTACACACACACACTCAACATCTAAATAAATACATTTTTGTTTAATTTAATAATTACCAGTTTAATTTGTTGCCCATGAATTGGCGTCGGCATGTCTCTGTAACGCCAAATCTTTCTTCTTTACCAATATTTACCTTTTCGAATTCGATGAGCACTATCTGTATGAGTTCCAAGAGAATTGATCAGAAAAAAGTCATTTACGAACAACTTAACGGGCAAAACAATGAACGTGTGATTTTATGCGTATAAAAACGTCAATATAGTTTGAAGCGTCGTTAAAATTGCTGTGGCTTTGTTTATCGATCTGAAAGTCGCCTTATTAATTAATAAAGCCAAATAACTAATCAACAATAAACAATTTGTGTGTCTGTGCGTGCGTGTTGACCTCAAACCGATTGACGCATCAATAACGATTTAGTAAGGAACAAAGCCTTGAATAAGGTCTTTGAGCCACGAACACAGCGCACATAATAATATTCAGATGGAATTCGTCGAAAAATCCAATAAACACCACACTCAATTCAGTTTGTCAGCCATTCAGTGCGGATTAGTTAATTATGAGGGAGCCAAAAATGTGCTTCCACATTGGAATTTCAATCGTCTTACGGCGAGAAATATTTTTACAATTTATTGTATAAGTTGATAATGCAATAATTCGAGCTACAATCCCATCGATTTTGAGACCGAAATGGAAACACGGAAAGCCGTTCATTGGTTGTGTGGATGAAAAAGAATTATAAAATGGTGCTTTTGTTCAATATGGAACTCTCTTCAGACGCAAAGTTAATTTGCTGGCTATATTGCCTTCTAATGAAATTGCACTGCTAAATATCTGGGATTAAGTACAGCGATCGCATTCTATTTGATGTGGTGGAAAAGAAACGCGTACAAAAGACGAGAGGGTATTATGGATAGCATGGGGCGAAACGAAAATAGCGACGTATTTTCAACAAGCAGAATTAATAACTTCGGCCCCTTCATCGTATCGTATCGCTTCGTTCCGTTTCGTTTCAACATTTGCACCGTTAATGCCGTATTTATGAGTCATGCTTTAGAATTTTAATGCCTATTTAAGTTTGACAACATCGTGGCTGCAACCGAGTATATTACCAGCAAGAGACAACGGCTCTCGAAATTTATTGCCTATGTCTACTACAAATAAAAAGAACTGGTTTTGGCTTTACGGATTAAATTTAATTGAATAATTCTATTCATATTCTAATCGAAATTGGCATTTAAACGTTGATCGACATATTGCCAATGGTTGTCTTTGGTTGGGTGATATGAAATTAATGGGCATCCGGTGATGCTTTTTTGCCATGTGCATTTATCACACGGAATCAAGAAAAAGTCACGCGAATGCATGAAAACCAAATCAGTTTCAAGCCATCAGTTGTACGGAAACTTGTTTCGAAACACAACGCGTATTACAAGTCAAATTGGCTGTTTGACGTTGTAAAACTTGACGATAAAATCAAAAACATTGTGTCGCGAAGTAAAATTATAAATACTATTTAAATTGACATTTTATCAAGTTTTCGATTGGAAATCAATGTTTTCGCGGATTTACACATGATTTTTTTTTATTTTGAACCAACCGTTTTTAATTGAATGAACAGAAAAAAAATAATCCATGGATTTTATGAATACTTATAAAATGTAGCGTTTTCCCAACGAAATACATACAAAAACAATTTAAACCGTTGGCAAGTCGTAAAAGAGCAAAAACCGCAAACAAATATGATTAAATTAAATACGCGTATGCATTCATTAGGCAAGTGTACGACACCCGAACGAGATTCAATTTGAATACATTCATATTTCAATTTATATTGTATTTTAGACAGTGTAAAATACACCCGACGAATGTGTAACAAATAGTTTTGAATATCGTTAAAACAACCATTTCGGTCGTCATTTTTCCGAAAGGCTCACATAGATATTCAAATAATATGATCAGCGTGCTAAATGAACATTAGAACGTGCCGCTCTCCGAGTCAAACAAATGTAACCAATTCAATTAAATCATGTTTTACAGTGCGATGCACAAGGGACTAAGCCAGTTGATTTTTCACTATTACAGTTTTTTTGTTGTTGGTTCATTTGTTGAAATGCGAATTCGTTGTGCACAATGTGAATTTATTCATTCGCCAAATATTCAATTACATGTGCAGAAAAATAATTTTACTTTGATTAATGATTTGAATTTCGTTATTGATCAGCCTGGAGGATGGATGGATGGATGGATGGAGGTGGAGTTTAATGTGAAAATATTGAAATATGATTCATTCAAATTTGGTCAGAAAAGAAAACAACATGCAAATGTTGTAATGAAATTCCAATTTATTCCAACAAGAAATATATTCGATTTCAAACGGTAGTTTTCTCGTTTGTTTAATTAAAGAAAAAAATTCCAAAATTTTGATACAAAAATAAGTGACGTCAAGTATGGCTGAGATGCGTGCCGTATGTCATCGCTTCAAACGAATGATTCCCATGCAATGTGAATTCTGGTGAAAAACTAATTGAATCATTAATGGGCTCATCACATGCGGCGTTAAGTAGACGTTTAACAAATAGTGGAAGAGAGAGAAAAAAAAGGATGGCGCAGCTTTGTATCTTTTCCGATGCACAAAATGTTTCCCATCAACACCTCTTCACATTCTGACAGATAATTTCCCTGAACTATGAATTCAATACTCTTTCATTTTCATGCCTTTGCATCGATCAGTATTTTCATTGTGACTTCTTTTTTCTTCGGCTGTCTTTTTCGTAGAATTCAATTTTTGAAAAGTCATTTTCAGTTGTTGACGAGTTTTCTTCTCGTTTTACTTCTTTCTTTATGCGCATAAATACAACCACTGAATGAAAGAAAAAAAATTCCTTCGAGCGCCTTCTACGAACAGCCAACAAACACTAAAATAGAAACTGAGAGTGTTTAATTTGAACTTGTATCGAATTTCCTTGTCGTACGGTTTTTTTTTTGTTCGTTTCAAAGGAAACATGGCTCATAATAATTTCTAGATATGAAATGTGGTCGAGTGAAGTGGTTTCAATTTTCTACTTTCTCTCTCTCTCTCTCTCTCTCTCTCACTCTCTCTCAATGTCATGCGAGAATTTTGATGATGCGAACAAAGAACACCTGCGAAAAAAATATGGAAAATTAAACAATTAACAAAATGGCTTTTTAATGAACAAAAACAAAAGGATGATGTGCGCTTAAATTTCATGTACACACAAAATCCTCTTCACATGATGATGATGATCTTATTAAAAAAAAAACGGCTATTGTTGTTGTTGCTACTTTAAAAGCTATTTGGCCTGCGTTGTTAAGTGTTATGTACAATAACAACAGCAACAAAAAAATGGATCATCATCCTATAATGGTATCAATTACATGCAAACATTTGACGCGCAAAAACACCAACAAACAACATACATACATATTCGAGCCGAGGAGATTAGGCAACCACAAGACCACTGAGACTTATCCGACCTGAACTCGTTCTCACTGTCATTATTTATTCATATTGTAGTTGCGTGTAATAAATACCCCGAGGCAAAATGTAACCGTTTGAGTGCGGAATTTAACTTTTCAAGTAAGCGATAGAGAACGGGAGAGAGGGAGAGAAAATCAAGCCGACAAATAATTAGTATAAAATTACCCTATTTTTCGAGACAGACTTTTCATCGAAACCCGTGAACCGTTTGCTAATAGAGAGCAAACGATGAACAATGGCTAAAATATCATTGCTTTTTTATGATGAGATGCTACTGCTGCTGCTGCTCGTTCACAGGAACTTGCGTGTGATCCTATCACGCAGTAGCTGTTTACCGCCTCACTGCTCTCACTACATAAACAAAAAACAAGCAAAATCGGTAACTTGTAAATAATACCTCTTTGTTTGTGCAGTAATGATTTATGAACAGCAATAACAATAGCGCACTACGCGTAGAAGATCCACCCAAAAATAGCAGCGCTTCATAGAATTTAATGACGGATCGCGTAAACGAGAGATTTTCTCGCACTTTATTCGAAAATGGCAAATATTTGTTGCTCATTGATAATGGTGCCGAATTGTGTTATTCACTCGAGATTTATTGAACTCGAAGAAAAAAAAACTGCAACAAAGTCAATGCAAACACTTGCAAAACGATTCAACTGTTGCAAATATAATTACATACATTTTTACATGATTTTTATGGGAGTTTATTTCGTCGGATGCATTTGTTGGTTCAATGTAGCGAATCGGTTCATGCTGGTGCGCTGAGTATTACCACAGAATAATTGGCCAGCGCTCAAGCACGTGCGTCGATGGCGTTTTCTTCGCTTTTTATCTCATCGTCTTTCATTGTTTGTGCTGCTGCTGCTGCTGCTGATGCAATCGCTCAATGGGTCCAATTTCCTCTTGTTAACACGATTTTTTTGTCATTGTTTGATCACGGATTTTGGTCTAGTTAACACACCGAAAAAAAAACACATTCAATGCCATTTACTAACGATTTTCTCTGATTTTACTCTCGTTTATTGCAGGTATGGTTTCAAAATCGGCGTGCTAAGTGGCGTAAAACCGAAAAATGCTGGGGTCGAAGCACGATTATGGCCGAGTATGGCTTGTACGGTGCAATGGTTCGACATTCTTTGCCGCTGCCTGACACCATATTGAAGTCAGCCAAAGAAAGTGGAGACGGAGTCGTAGCGCCCTGGCTTTTAGGTATGGAAGCCAAAAGTAAATATTGTGTTCCATTTTTTTTCTCTTTTTATTTTAATTTTTAGTTTTACGATTAATTTTATATTAAATTGCTTCGTCTATTATTGGTTCATTTGCAATGTGGTGGTCTTTTTTAAAACCGTTTGCATTCATTGTGTTCGGTGAAGAGTCGATTTTAATTTGATTTTATTGTTAGTTGCATTTCTGCATGCTTAAAGGCATCCAATTGGATCTTAAATGGCAATTTCAACAGTACTTGTTTGTTTGGTGAATTAAAAGCCGATTATACAAAGGGAAATTTTGAGGCGAGGGGTTGCATATCGCTCTCTTGCTCACTCATCGTTCACTATATAAAAGTGTGCCTCATACTAAAAAGACCTGACCACCACTCCATTGTCCATTTTTATTTATAGTCAACCATTTATCAATATCAATTGCGATTTCCCTCGTTTTATTAAATTTACAATACCAATCTATAAAACTACGTGATCTATCTATATCGAATTCATTTGGATTTATTTTCGTATTATTTCATTTAAAAGCGAATTACTGTAATAACGGTTTATTATGGTTGCGCTATTGTGTGATTTTAATTGAATTCATTTTATTAATTTTCCATTAATTTCGATTAATATTTTATTAAGTTATAATTTATTATCTGAATGCGCGCAACACACTACGCTTAAATATTTAATTGGAAATATTCACGATTCTTTTTTTTCTGTTATTTCTTTTTGAAATGGAAATTAGGCATGCATCGTAAATCATTGGAAGCCGCTGAAACATTGAAGGATGACAGTGGCGGCAGTGATAGAGATGATGAACAGTCGAAAACGAGTGACATTTCGAGCACTGGAAATCCATCGACCAAATCAACACCAAATTCAAAATCGAAAAAATCGTATGCATCGGATGAACTTATATCGCCGTCAACACCGGCCACATCGAATTCAGACGGTGTAAATCACAATTCGATAACGCCAACATCCACATCGAGCGCATCAATGTCGCAGGTAGCATCGTCGCCGAGTACAACGCCATCAGCGAGCACCCAACATACACCGTTACCTGTTCATCATCTCATCGAATCAAAATCAATGCTTGCCAGTCCAACGCATCCGAATTTCCATCATGACAACGACACTGAAGCGTTTAGGTGGGTAGGAGACCCCATTTCGTTTATACGGTGCGACATATTTGATTTTAAATTTGTTTCTCTCTCTCTCTCTCTCTCTCTCTCTCTCTCTTTCTGTCTATCTGTCTGTCTTTGAGACTCGAATTAAGTCTTTCAATTCGACTAATTAAAATGGAATCAGTTTGTGTGACATTTCAATATTAAATTCATTTTTTTTTCTCCTTTCATTACAGAAATAATTCAATTGCATGCTTAAGAGCCAAGGCACAGGAGCACCAAGCTCGTTTACTTAATAGCGGTCTTTTGCTCCAAGTACGGTCATTGGCTGGATTACAAAATCCATTGAGTCATTCACCGCCGCATTCATGTGATAGCAATGCAAATACGTTGCATGGCACCTCTGGCCAACAATCTTCACCACATTCTCCGCATGATTCGCCAAGTGCAGCAGCGTCAGCAAATTCCATTGAATCGCGCACATTTCATCATCTTTCACATCACCATTCGCCGGCCAATCTCAGTCCAGCTGCCACCGTTAAAAACGAACACAGCGCCGGCATTAACATGGCATTTTGATATTCACAACCACCATCGATTGAAACACGCATCGATCGAAACCAGTTGCCCAACGTTCTCTTAAATTAGATTTTTTTTTTCTGCTGCTCTTTCGCTCTCGCTCTTTTCATCAAAAATGATGCAAACTCGACTTTTCATTTTCAAAGGCTTTAATTATAAGCATATATTTTGCATTTTGCGCTTGATTCTGACACTCTATTTAGTTTTTTCATCGAACATTTGGATCTCAGTGCTGTACAATGTTAATGAAACACAACAAAAACAAATTAATACGATTTTCAAAAGAAAATCGTTTATTATGGGCAAACACACAGTTATTATTCAATATTGTAACCGTTTATTTTTAAATTGATCTCTCGTGGCGTGTACGGCAATTTAATTTTAACGAAAACTATTGACACTGTAGAAACAATGAGCAAATTTACAAACGATTTTCAGCCCAGTGAGACGAAAATTGCATAAGTTTAAGTTCAACAAAGCCTGAATTTCACGTTACAATGAGCATCGAAATAGAGAGAAAAGCGACAAGCAACGGAATGCATACAAAGAGCATTCGGATTAGTAGTAAACGAAAAAATATTTGAAAAATGCTAGCATTTTAAGAAATTAAATGTGAGGATGTGCAATATGAACGATGTACTCACTTTTCTCTCCTTAGTTTTTGTTTTCCTTTCTAAAAAAAAAACAAAATAAATTCGTCGAATCGCTCTCTAACATATGGAATTCACTTTAATATAAAGTCATTTGCACACAATCCGTGGAATGACCAGTCAAAAATGCTAGAAATTAATCACATTAGAAAATCGGCAGTAGTATTTAAGCAACAGAATTTTAAAATTACAATATTACAATTCGTACAATATATAAACAGATGAACATTTAAAGAAATGAAGATGGAAACACAGAGAAGAAGAATTCAACAATCACGTTTGAAGTGAATAGATTTAATATGAATGTTGTAAATAGCATATTTAAGAGATGGTGCGCACACAAAATGCATGACATAGATGAATATAACAAGAACATCAACTGCAGAAACCGTTTATTAGTGAGTTGCCTAGAAAATTCCAGAAGCATTACCAGCAACCGGTGCATAAAGTGCAAATAATAAGAACACACTGAATTTCGCACGATTTAATCAGTTTTCGTCAGAAAAAAATTGTTCAATCATGACTATCTAAAAAAAATTCCAGCACCAGAGAGGGAAAAAAACCCAACAAACTCTTTACTAAAGAGTCTTTAGGCTAATTGCTGAGCATTGCACACAGCATTTTACGTGTACAATATTAATAATCTTGTAAATTTAAGCAAAAAGATGAAGGAAAAAACCACACACAAATTTACTGAATTAAGAACTCTATGTAGCAAAATGTGGAGAGATACAACTCATAACCATAAATTTTAGCGGCGGCAAATTAAGATGTAAAATGTAACAACAAACACAAAAATCTGTAAAATTATTTTAAAAATAAACTAATTTAAAACAAAGTAAATCGGACACTTGAAGTGTATGTCTGTCTGTGTGGCGATTGTGTACAGCTTGGGGTTAAATCTCAAGGCGAAGCGAGGACCACCGATCGAAAAGTGAAATTGACAACGGCAATGACATTTTTAGGCCTAAGTAGGGCGATTACCGTTGGCAACGCACATTTTTATTCCCATAAATAAATCAAATTGCTTTCGCTGCGAGCGAAAACAACGACCATCACGGATACGCGACGACTGATAAGTCTCTCTAATGATTTAATTGGTTATCGTGTATTACGTTTTTCCTCATCGGATTTACTACAGCCACACGAAACACAGTTAACCAGGTGACCAGTGAACTCGGTCTACTTTGTAAATCGACAAACATCACGTAATATTGTAGCAATCTAATTATTTTGCTCCAGATTCTATGGCAGAAAGTGAAAAAAATGCCGTTAATCTTAATCGATTTTTGTTGTTGTCTTTTATTCTTTTGAAAGGGTAATTAACGACAAACTCCAAAGCAACCATGATACGTACATGTGTCCGCCTCTTGAAACCAATTCAAAACAAATGAATCACCGCATTTCATTCAAATGTTCACAACGGAAAAACGAATTCAGTTCTGATCATATTCCAACAGATGACCAATACGGACACTTTTTTTTGTTATCGATTTCTTACTAGAGAGACTCTAACATTTCATCAAAGACTTGAAAAGAAAAACCTGAATGAACCTTACGGTAGAATACGAGAGCCGCGATTTCCACTCAGTCTAATTGAACGCTTTCAATTTGTAATTCAAATACCAAGATACCAATTATTCATGAAGCCGGTTCTTATTTTTCAGCCGGCAAGCCAGCAATTATCTGCATTGATTTGCAGCAATAGCAGTGATTAACATCCGGTAAATGTTTATGAGGAGAAAAAATCACCGTCTTTGTACACTTCTTGATTTCGCGCGATTTTTTTTTGTCTCTCTTTCATTTTCGTCTTTTTGCAGAGATTTTTCGATTGTGTGTTGGGCAAGTAAGAATTCTTGAGATAATCTTTGGTTTCAGCCATTGGCTTTTAATGATAAAGTTTATCTAGTTTTTAATTGCTATAGCAACGAACATTTATAGTGTAGCAACGAGCTTAAAATTACATACAATTTACGGCGCGATTTCATCAACATTGACACAAAGTGTAGAGTTTTTTTTCTTTGGAGGAAAAAAGGGTCGATCGAATCGTTGTGCATCGAATGCAGATCGCGGCGGGAAAATCGACAGTGACATGCAGAAAATAGAACTAGTTCACAATCCGTTTTATGCAATGAATCATTTTCAATTTTTGCTTACACACGATTGAGAATGAACAGCTAGGAAAAAAAGTGTTGCGGTGCAAAAACATGAATCGAACGGTCGGTTGAAATAAACAAGATTTATTTAGCAAAGAAAAATGAAAAAACAACAACCGATGTTAATTATCGATTAAAAACGTACACAAAACTAGAATGAGAAATCGAATTGGTCGCCAAGGCACAGCAGCAGCAGCAGCAGCAGCAGAGTACCAGTGAGATTTGTATTGTATGCGATCGAGTTTGTGTAAGTGTTAAATTATAACTTGTTCCTTTGGTAGACACAAAATTCATAGGCCTTTGTTGACCAGCAGCAGCAGTAGCGGTTCAATGTGACACATCAACAATCAGAATTGTTGTCTGGTCTCTGTATGTATGGATTTTCTTCGCGGCTATTTATGTCGACACTTGAAATGATGAAAACATAAGGTGAAAAATGAAATTCGTAGAAATCGCACGGATGCATGCATTGAATTGTGTTGCAGTGAAAGAGAGTAATGCGCACATACCTTTTACTTATGCAATGTGGGCGCGCGCGCGTGCGCTCTCTCGCTCACCACTGCTGCTATAATACACTCACTCTGTGTGTGACCATTAGGTTAATAGAGCAGAGCAAAATATCAAATGATTTATTTCGTTTGGATTGTTGAACTGGAATTATGTGTTGTGTCGCACAGCATTTTGGTCATTCTTTTTTTGATAATCGTTAAATCAGCGGTATCGGTTGCGCGACTAGTTTTAAAGTGTTTTCTATTGAGAGTGCGGAGAGAGCAAAATGGCATATATAAATGTGGAATGAACACTTTGTGTTTACACCGCCTGGGCATATATATGCTCCGTACATTTGATCGGTGCGTTTTACTGTTTTAGAATTTCGGAATGTTATGTGTGTGTTTGTGTATTATAAGTCTCTGTCGCTGTTGTCGCGATCCACGTAATCGATTCCACTAAATAACCATTTTTCTGTCATTTGATTTACATTTGAGCCTCAGCGCAAAATGTGTGAACTGACTACGTCTTTATGCCCACACTCGTATTCAACGAACGGGCTGACATAATGCGTCGAATGCTTACACTTTTATCATTAAATCGGTTCAATTGAAGAAAAAAAAACATCAATATTAATGCCCATTGATTTAGTCGTTCATTTTTGAATTTTTCCCAAATGAATCCAAATAAAATTCAAACCATTTTTCCCGTACACATTTGCAAAGGCAATTTAATAAAACGGAAAATATGGAAAAAATAGCATAAATCATAAAATTTCCCACACGAAAAAAATTCACAACTATGTTGTCAATTCTCATATGATGATTAGTTGGCAATGCATTTTGCAAAACAGTTTGAAAGAGACCGATTGCAATCAATTAACTTGAATCTCTGTAGCAGTAAAAGAATAATTTCTGATTAATCGTTAACAGCCCTGATGGCTGTTTGCCGTTCTCTCTCTCTCTCTCTCTCTCTCTCTCTCTCTTCCATCGAAGACAAACACACCTTTAATTAAGCAATTAAGCAAATCGACGTTCATTCATAAATAAAGTAAGTGTTTATGCAAAATTGTGCCGGATAATGTATGATCTCATAAGTTCAATCTCAACAGCTTTGCCGTTCCGTCTCCGTTGCTTCTTTCCTATTGTCAATGATGCAGTCAGTATGATTAGTCTATCCGTATCAAACTGAACACAAAAGTACACAAACATTCATTAAATCGGCATGGATTCGTTAACGCATAACTTTTTTTGTGTAACCAACGTTGAGTGTGTGAGCGCACCAAGCAAAGACTCCACTGGCACGAAAAACCTGCGTAAACAAAAAACAAGTTTGTACGTTCAAATCGTATTTATGTTAATTGATAATGTGTTTTATCTGTCTGTAGTTATCAATTACATGGACTAATGTGAGCGAACTAGCTCGCTCGCGCGCGCAATTTATTACGAAACTGTTTTTCCGTATAAAGTGCGCGTTCGCTCGCTCGCTCGCTCACGGCAGAAAGAGATAGAGACCTAATCAAACGGATCGACTGCGTACATTTCTATGTGCGCCACGTAATACGCACACAAAAAATATCCATTGAGAATTTCTTTTGCACTGAATTTCGTTCAACAAATACGCAATTCATTTATGCGATGCGATATTAATGAAAAACTATTTCTCTTACACATTTCATACATAACATCACCATTCGAGGAGAGACGGGGTGATAGTTAAACTGCCTTTGACTCGATCCTAGGTCGGTTACGATGTACTATGTATTGCGAAAAATGAATGCATGCACCTATGCACACACACACACTTTGGATGAATGCTACGCTTTGGATGATCTTACTATGGGCGATTATTGAATGGATTGGTCAATTACAATAGCTTTTCATTATTTTATTGATGAATCGTGATTGTCTTGTTTTAGTTTTTGTTCGTTTGAATGCAGCATGTGAATTGCAAACAAGTGCGAATCATCGTTATCATTACATATGCCCACACGCCAATGATTCATTCAAGTTGGTTGATTTATAGAAAATTTCAACTGGTTTAGGTAAAATTGCTCATTGTTTCGGATCATTTTAAGCGGCATAAAATTGGGTCAAAGAGTTAAAGTCCCAAGTCAAATCGATTTTTTGTTGTAAATAGAACATTTTCAAGAGAGAAAAAAAAGATTTGCCATTCGTGTGACCTCATGTCTTGCACTGTCCATAATTCAGAAAATGAATTGATCGTTTTTATCTCAGTGAACATATTCAGATCAGTGGCGAGTTGTTGTCTGCACGCATGACTCGACGATTGCCCGGCGTTATGCACCGCTATGTATGTGTATGTGTGTTCGTACGTTTGTCGTTTGCTTTGAAAATATCACATGTCGTTTTACGTAAGATTTTTCTTGCTTTTTCTTTGACGCTGATTAAAAAGTGCCGAAACCGACTAACAAAGACACCAACAATTGCCTATGGCATTCATTCAACACACTTAGATCAAAATCAAATGCAACGATGGAGGGTGCACTCAATGACTCGACATGTTCTCTTTGCCATTCTGTACTTTATTGGAATGACCAAGCGTCACAACAACAGCACCAACGCTATGCCGGGATGTGTTGTGATCGTATATAAATCCGCTGACTCTTCGAATCGTTAACAATTTGATTTGTGAGCCTTTACAGTCAAGTCACGCGTCTTCTCCTCGCTTTCAATTTATCGTTTTTTTTTTTACAAATAATTTCATCAAAATGAAATTCGTAAGCATCGTTCCCACTAGTTTGAATATTTATGGGTTTTTCTTTGGCAAAAATGTATTCTGTTGAATTTTTATGTGTCGTGTTTGAATCGTAGTTTTGTGTTTTTTTTTCTTGAGATTGCAGTGATTTACACAGAGGAATAAATTCAATTTTTTTTAATTTCTTCGTGACAGCTCATTGTATTATTCTTCGTTGCTGCTGCATCAGCCGCTGCCATCGATGATAGCGAGAAGAAACAAGACAAACGTGGAGTTCTTGGTGTAGGATATGGATATGGTGGATATGGTGGCTTTGGTGGTCTTCATGCACCAATTGCTGCCCCAATCGCTGCACCATTTGCTTCATACCACGCTCCATTGGCCGTGCATGCTCCAGCTATTGGTGAGATAATTAATTTCACAGCGAATTCGGCAAAAAATGACAAAAACGTTTAAGATTTTTTCAAAAACTTCGAAAATTCACAATTTTGCATGGGATTTTTTTTGCCAATCCCATTTCAAATATCGATTTGATCCTGTTTAATTTTGGTTTACAATTTTAAATCTTTTTTCACACTAAAAACAGGCCCATAAACATATCAAAACTTCGAATAAATATTTTAAATGTTATTTTTAGCTCATGCCCCAGCCGCAGTTGTATCACACTCAACCGTTGCCCATGCTCCTCTAGGATACCCTGCACCTTTTGGATACCACGCACCTCTCGGAGGTCTTGGTTATGGATATGGAGGAGGTACATTCTCGATTTTACTTTCCACATAAAATGACTTTTCTGATTGACTGGATTTGATTTGGTTGTTAATGAAATTCCATGTTTTATTTTGATTTACACACATTTCCAGGTTACCCATATGGTGGTCATGGCTATGCAGGTCTTGGATACAGCCATGGCTATGGATTGAGCCACGGTTACGGTGGTTATGGATTAGGTTATGGATTGCATTAAATTCATCAAAATCAGCACAGAAAAATCATAAATTTATTTAATTAAATTAACATCCATCTAAATTAAAAAAAGGAAAAAAATAAGCAGAATTCGTCAATAACTTGATCTTTATGTGCAATTTGGTCACGATTGCAAACAAAAGAAAGAAATAAAATAAAAGTTTCGAAAAACCAAAAGAAAATTGTGTTTTTTTTTTAAATGTAAATTGAATTGAAACACTTGTCTAGTTCTTCTTTTAAATAAAATTTATTTCATTTTTTAATCAATTCATCCATTATATCAATAACTTGTTCATCTTAAAAAACTATTTCTACATTTGGACTCATCGCAATTATCTACGTGTATTTTCCATTATCATAAAAAAAATTCATCTATTAATATTATAAAGAAAATATATGGATATATTACATTTCGTTTACATCTGTTCATCTATCATTTGAATCGTTTTTTCTTTCATTTTGTTTTTCTATTTTCTAGCAATAAAAATTTTTATATTAGAAAAATTGAAGTAGGGAAATAATAATATTAAACAACTTGTAACTGTATTGTGTATTCTTTTTATTATTTCAATTATTCGGTAGTGATTCGAAAACGTACGAAAAAAGTGCACATGTCGTCCTCTTTTTTGGTGTAAAAAAACAGGCTCAGTTAAGTTTCGATTCATTGGTTTTCTTTGATTTTCTGGTTAGCTTAAACTATGGTGATGAATCATTTCGTGAATAATGATTTTACACAATGTTATTCCAAAAAAATAATTTGTTCGTAGAATCCACCGAATATGCACGAATCATTTGGTTTTGTTTTTCTTGGAAAATTAACAAAATTAAATCTAAATGCCAACGCTAAATAATTGATTTGTTCTCAAATCATTATTATCCAACATATGACACTTAAAATTCTAATTAATTTTGAATGAAAATCGTTTTGCGTCGAACAAAAAAAAAGAACATGTATACATCATTTAATATCGGGTTAGTCGAGTCTTAAATAGAACGTTCACATTGAAATTCGCTTTGAACTAAATTGAATTTACCAAAATGAACATTTTTGGAATAATGTTTGCATTTTTCGTCTGAGTTTTCAATAAATTAACGTTAGAAATGAAAGATGTGAATCGACGAAGAAAGAAAAAAAAAATCAAGTGCCAAATATACACATAATAAAGATTAATAAGACATTTGTTTCAAAGCTTAACTAGAGCATTTCTTTTAAGTGTTACCATTTCATCAATGGTATGGAAATAATTCACAAAAAGACCAATCATTGGGTCTTGCAATTTGTTCATACGTTGTCTTCAATCGAATGTGTGAGTTGTTGATGTTTAAATGAGTATGAAGCAATGGGTTTATGAGAAACAAAAGAAAATTTGTTGATTTGCTCACAATGAATAATAATTTAATGCTATTGCTGCAATCGCATTCGTCGGGTGATAACAGATGCTCGAGTGGAGCAGCTTCTGAGTTGTTCCACCACCGATTTTTTTGCAACGACCACTTTGAATCGCAACGTTGACGTCCTAGCTTGAGCCAATGGTTCTGTGGATTTTTGCAACTTACAACTACTACTTGATTTAACTATTTGTACTGATTCAGCGTGAATCAAACGTTTTGGTTGTTTCTTGCACGTCAAATTCTTTGTATTCGCTGTGTTATTGTTGTTGTTATTTGTTCTGGTGGTATTGTTGTTCGCTCGCGTCGATACCGGATACACTTTGGCTTGAGTAACGACTCGGCCAATCTTTTGAATGAAACTGCTTACGGCGGTGGTTTGGTTTTGTGTCGGACGATAGATGGTTTTGCTGGCAGTGTTTTTGGTCAATGCATTTTGTGATCGCAGCGTTCGTTGATTCAGAAGCTTGGTGTCTTGTTGTGGTGCCTCTGAACTTCGTGTTCGACTCGGCGTTACAATTGCACTATCCACTAAAGCTTTGACTGGCACCTTGCGTAAGATCGAAATATTTTCCTTATGCACGCGACCAATGGTCACATTTGCTGATGGCTTTTGAATGATGATCGCCACCTTCGGTTTCAAACTTCGTGCTAATGATGGCTGTGCACGTTTTTCAGTACCTGCAGATCTTGTTACTCGTACAGAGGAGGCTAGACTACTTCGGGTTACCTTTCGTCCGGTTGTCGGTTGCTGCAAGACCATGGTTGCTTTCTTTAGGTTGGCAGCTAGCTTTTTCAGTCGTGGCGATGGTTCACGCAAACTGGACGTCGAGTCATTGTTATCCGATGACGAAATTTCATTGATTTGAATGCTGTCATCAATAATGCTTGACTCATTCAGCTCTTCGCTCGTCACACCTTTTGATGTTGATGCGATGCATTCTTTCGCCGCATAGCTCGTTGACTTGGCAACGTCGACACTTTGTGATTCTTTCGGAGAACAATTTTTGATTATTGTTATGTCATTTGGATCAACTGAGGCATTCGGTTGAATACGATACTCACTTGAGCTCAAAGGCAACAATGTTCTTTCATCCTCTTCATTTCGATTCAGTTCAGTTTCGACATGTCTGCCCCGGTAACCACTCGATGTTGATGGATATTGCGATCGATCGCCTAAATAATTATGATCGACCAAATTATGCTGATAGCTTCCGTACATTGCATGTGACGTAGATGGCATCGGTGATGATGACGTCGAAGCGTACGCATTGTACTGCTGTTCACTTCTCGTTTGCAATTTGTGCAAACTGTATATCGGTGTGTGCTCATGCGATCGATCCATGTACTGATGCGTTGTGTTTGGATTGTCATAGCTGTTCGAATCGTCAAAGTCACTATCTTCGCTTGCTTCATTATTGTACACATAGGAATGATCTTCATTAAGGCTCGAGTTTAACAATGAATTATACGATTCGGCAAAACTATTCATATATGGTTCTTCATTACCATTGAAACTGTCTTCATCAGTGGCATTTGCAAAGGCTTGCTGTTGGTTATGCGTCTGAACATCACTCTCCGTTATGTTCTCATATCGCGTCAAAACGGTTGCCCCACTCGTTGGCAGAGGTATACCATCGATGTCCATAAGCTCGTTCGTACTGTGATCGTACATGCCAAAGTTTTGCACCGGTTCGATTTCCAAATGCTGTGACGGTTGACTATCTGGCAAGTAGCCCAATAAGTGTGATCTTGACGCTGGTGATTTCAACAGATCTCGTTTTGGTGGACCAGGTGGATCAAACATTATTATAACAACGGATGTGTTATCGGCACGCATCTTTTTGGTACTCCATCGTTCAAGTGCTTTGTCGACGAGGTTTTTGCTTGGATTGATCCACTCTCGTGACTCAGCGTTGCATGCACTTCGCTCATTCATCTGGTCAGATAGTCGAACGTTGTCGACAGCTCCCTGCGGTGAAACTACATTCCACAATCCATCCGTTCCGAAAACTAGACATCTGAGAAGTAAAATAAAAAAAATCAGAAGTTTTTTTGTACTTATAAAAGTCAAACGTTATTACGACTTACTTGAATCGTTTCGGATCGATTCTAACAACACGGACATCTGGTTCGGGGCTCACAACAAACTCGTTTAACGCTGAGTTATAGCTCCATAGATCGCCTAAACTTCGTGCGACAGCCAAAAACGGGATCTCATCGATGGGTGTTGAACGCCGAACGGGCCCTTTGTGACCTATCCGTGGTCGATTCCAAACGACTCGCGGTACACCTGCCTTATTGATCACTTTACCACCTGAGTTTATGATACGTGTTTGCTCTTCGTGAGATTCTGGTTTGTGGTCCTGAGTTAATGCCTGGGCACGCCAGTGTTTCTCACCATCTTCTTGATAGCCGAGTACAATGCCCGAATCACCGACATGACCAATGTAAATTTTTCCGTGACGAATAAAGGCTACTGATGCTGTGGTTCCAGCCGTACTTGGCAAACCTGACGCTGTTTTTGGCCATTTTTCTGAACGAAGAAAAAAATTAAATAAAATTATTCCAAAATAATGAATATTTTTATTTTTTAGGCTGCAAATATTTCATGAATGAATCAAAGATTGTCTTCAGATGTCAATCATCAATTAAATGTTTCGAAGAAAAACCGTTAAAATCAATAAGGATTCGATTGAAGGAGTTTTGGCGGGAAACCAACAGTTAGAAGTTTGTTTAGTGCAAATTTTGTTTTGTTTTCTTTTTTTTTTCGCCGTCAGCACACGCAGACATGTCAAATGCGATAGCACTCATCTGTTTTTATTATGGATATTAGAATATGAGCAGAAAATAAGTAAGTGCGTTACAAACAAAGTCGTCTTATGCATTTGTTTATTTACGTTTTTCAAGGCGACGACGCATCGTTGGCTGTCACGTTGCTGCACGTTAAACGCATGTGACGCATTCGAATCAGTGAAAAGTATATAGACGCCATTTTTAATTGGATTTTACAACAACAACGATATTAGCATCAAATGAGAAAGAAAAGAGCGGAAAAATGTAATTTTCTGAAAGAAATTGCTATGTTGACTACAACCAATATTGAAATCATCAAAAATGACCGCCAATCAGATGAGGTTTAATTGTTTAATGCAGTGATTTGCAGGCGAAAGCGGAGAAAAAGTAAATTTTCTGGGTCAAATGTAACGTTGTATGACGCCATTCGTGGTTTGACAACCATAATGGTGTTTCGTCACAATTTGAGTATAAATCATTTCACTTGAAAAATCACTATTGTTGCATTTACTTTTTGAATACAGAAAGAGAGAGCGAAACAAAATATGATGTACCTTGTTCACGCCACATAGCATAGTGGGTGGCAATGTATCCTTCCCGAATTGCACGTAAAACGTCATGATCGTCGTCCGACCAGAAGGCCTTTTGATTGACAATCAAATTGATTAAATGCTCTTTGGCGAAAGTGGCTGCTTCAGCACCTCCGTGACCTGTAAACAGATATCAAACCACACAATCAGCACTGGTGCACAAGGCAAAACAATCAAACTGTGTTGTTCAAACTGCCAACTCTCGCTATACAAACCATCATAGATTCCAATGAAAGCGTATTCAAAGTCACGTTCATCGGCCAAACCCTGTTGATAGGCGACCGAAAAGAAATCTTCCATATACTTTCTTCCACCTTGGCTGCAGTGGCCAGTTACTCGTAAATTAACACCTATCGATGGCATTTCGCTTCACTCGTAATTTTCTTTTTGTTTTGGCAAATAATTCACTCATCGAATGCACTGACTTCAAACAATTTTTTGCTGTGTGAATTTCGTGTTTTGTTTGCTGCTTTAAAAATGACACCAATTTTTCTTCATAGAAAGTTCATAGTTACTTTTTCCCACTCTAAATAAACATTTCGCTGAATTTTTCGAACGAAATTCAATTTTGTTTTTCGAAAACAAATTTAGTTGCTGTACAATTAAAAAATTTGCTCTCGGCAGAATTCAAGTTATTATTAACATACAATAGCACAGAAAAAAACCCATGTAATACGTTCGTCACGTAACGCGCACCTAATGAAATCACTCAAATAAAACACTACAGTTGCCCATACACACGAACCAACAACGAAATTAGAAGTGGTTTCAACATGAACTTACACGCACAGTCAGCGCGTGTGTTTGTACAGTCTATCTGCTGGGGGAACTACTCATCATATACTTATGTATACCTATGTACAAAATATAATGAGCTCTCTTTGTGTATACATGTATATGTACATACATAGACCTATATACTTCAACGAGTGAACGTCAGTCCGTCAATACGACGTTACGTTCCGTTCACACTCACATCAACAATCAACTCTCAACGCATATGCATGACATGGAACTTTGACACTACACAGTTTACGGATTTCAGTCGAACCATTTGATTAAAAAAAATCCATATTTTTACGATGGCTTTGATTCTCCGGAGATTTCTACCATCGTTCACTTTGAGTGAGTGTAAACAAGATTGGTGTTTTGAATTTGTGATTCATATGATGAAATTTTCTGCTTTTATTAGGTAATATGCGGTTTCATTCAAATGATAGCATCAATTCAAAGACACCTCCACCACCACCATCGGAATCAGATCAAAAACGACCGATCAGCCCTCGTATGGAAGAATTTCAGAAGAAATTACGTGAAAAAACGCCTATTGGCAAGCTAGGTCAGTTGAAAGCAGCTGAGAAATAGGAAAAAAAATCTAATGCTATATCGTTCAATTTTTTCAAAATTATAATCTGATTTCGAACAGATCAAGGTGAAGGAAAGCATCCATATCAAGAGAAAGAGCCGTTGGAAGCATGGCCAAATGATGTTAATCCATACACAGGGGAAATAGGTTCGTTGTGATTTTATTACGGTGTTCGGTTCAATTTGCGAATGAAATTCATTTTGAATGAAAAATATTCACGTATAATCATTATTTTAGGTGGTCCAAGAGGGCCAGAGCCAACACGCTATGGTGACTGGGAACGAAAAGGACGTTGTACTGATTTTTAGATAAATAAAAAGCATTGTTCTACCTTTAAAGTCCATAGAATTATATTTAATGTTAGAAAAATTGCAAATTGTTTAGAAAATAATAGAAAAAATCGTTTTTCATGTTGGTGCAGGGAATGACTTATTTCAAATCCTTTTCTTGCAAAATATGATCGAGAATTTGTTCGCTAACTTGCCATAGACTGTCAACCATTTCATTGTTCTGAGCCAATTTGCTTGGTTCACAGAAGAAACAATTGTTAAAATACTGCCCACTGACTCCAGTCAACTCATTTGCGGTAGCAACATAAATAGTCGTACTCGCAGCTTGTTGCTGAAAATAAAAGATTGGAATTTAGACATCATTCATTGTATTGAAACAATAATAAAAAGAAATTTTTGGAAAGAATTTCAAGGTAAATGTATGCAATTAATACCAATGACTTTGTGAATGGACGCACGAAAGCGAATAATATCCGATAGAACCACCAATTTCGTGATAATGACGTTGAAACCATGTTACCGGGATGTAAAGCATTCACACAGACTCCTTTGTAGCTTAGTTCCTATAGGTGAATCAGAATGATCAATTTTATTGCTTTTTATTGCAAAAATTCATAGAAGAAACTGATGGAGAATGTAACAATTTGAAGAAAAAAAAATTGAAAGAAATCTGAAAATGGACATTTTCACCATTACCTTAGCCAAGCCGCGTGCAAACAATACATTACACAGTTTGACATTGTTGTAAGCCATCATGCTGTAGTACTGCTTCGCCGGTGGCGACAATACTTGCTCGCCCAAATCGGATGGCGGAAGCCAGCTGAATCTGTAATAATAACAAGAGATTACCTTAAAACTTCCGCTTAACAGAATGTTGATAATGATTCATTACCGATGTGATTCTGATGAAACAACAACAACTCTGGACCGACGGTCCAGGCACTCGTCGAGCAATTTGCAGAGGTAAAAATGTGCCAAATGGCACACTTGAAACGTAGTTTCGAGTTGGTCTTCTGTTTGTGTGTAAGGTAACGCAAATACAGCGGCATTCAAAATGAGCATATCGATATGTGTCACTTGCTTTTTGATAAGTTCGGCTGCTTGTTTCACTGATCGCATTGAACATAAATCCAATGGAATGAATGAGCAACGTTCACCAGCCGAATCACGTTCTTTGCGAATTTTTTCAATCGCTTCTTCGGTTTTGCTTTGTGAACGACATGCTAGCAGCACTCGACATCCAAAGAAAGCCAATGACCGAGCCGTTTCAAATCCAATGCCGGTATTCGCTCCGGTGATCACAGCCACTTTTCCACTCAAGTCTTGGCCATGTAGCACCTGGAAAGCGGTTGAGTTTGCATCGAATCTTTGACGAATCTCGCTGATATTTCGTGGAGTGTTTTCAACGGCAAACGCTAAACGTGGATCAATGTACGTGCGCTTGTCATTCTTTCGGTCGATGTAAATTATTTTGCCGGTACTTTCTTCAATCTATGCATATAAAGAATATCGATTAATACGCAATAATTATAAAAGTGGAAGTTACTCACTTCTTTTTCCCAACCAAATGGCAGCTCTCCTTGGACTTTCTTCGATTTTCCTGTCCTTGGGTGTGTCCATTGAGTCTTTTTCTCTTGATGACTGTAAAAAAATACCAACAATTTCATCTGCCTTAGAGTTAAATCGTAGTGGCTTAACTTACTTCAAATAGAACACATTCCCGTCTTCATCGGTTCGTTCTTCGAATCCAGGCGGTAGAACTTCATCCTCGCTATCCGAATCTGGTTGCATCATTGGCGGTCTCGACATAATTTTCAATTAGATTTCAAGAACACTTTCTTTGTTCGGTGAGTACATTTTCAAGGTGGAATACAGATGATAAACAAAACGTCATTAATATGACAATGACGTTTGGAATTACTTGAATTTTGACAGGTCAATTCTATTTACATGTCTATTTACATATTCGCTTATCACGGTGAAAAATAAACTGTGGCAAAATAATAATGATTTTGGATTAGATTCGTTTAATTTCGCACAAAATGGCATTGAAAGGTATCAAAGTCTTGGAATTGGCTGGTTTGGCACCTGGTCCCCATTGTGGTAATGAAAAATTTCGAAAAAATCAATGGAAACATGGAAAATAACATTTTGTTTACATTTTTTTCTTACGAGGAATGATACTGTGCGATTTCGGTGCAACTGTCACAAGAGTTGATCGAATCATTGACAATCCGTTGGATTGTTTGGGCAAGGGCAAACGAACTATTGCAATTAACATTAAAAGTGCAAAAGGACAGGAGCTTGTGCGTGCGTTGAGCAAAACATCAGATGTGTTGATTGAACCGTATCGACCTGGAGTCATGGAAAAATTGAATTTGGGACCTGAAATTCTGCTAGATGAAAATCCACGATTGATTTATGCACGACTAACTGGTTTTGGTCAGACAGGGCCACTTGCAAAACGAGCTGGTCATGATATTAATTATGTGGCAATGTCAGGGATTTTATCTATGCTAGGGAGGTCGAATGAACCACCAACGCCACCAATTAACTTGATAGGTAGACTTGAACTTTGACCAGATTTTCTCAATTTAAAAGAAGTTTCTCTCTAATACACAAAATATTTCCAATTTTCTAGCTGACTTTGCCGGCGGTGGTCTCTTATGTGCTTTTGGAATATTGGCTGCAATTGTCGAACGACATAGTTCCGGAAAAGGTCAAATAGTTGACTGTTCAATGACTGAAGGTGCTGCTTATGTCGGTAGTTGGTTGACTCGTTCTCGTAATTTACCGATTTGGGGTGGTGGCCGAGGAGAAAATATTCTTGATGGCGGTGCTTTCTACTACGGCACATACGAAACGAGCGATGGCAAATATATGTCAGTTGGTGCATTGGAACCGCAATTTTACAGCGAGTTTATGCGCATTTTAGAGTTGGATTTTGATCAGTTTGACCCAAACATTGATAAATGCAGAAAAGAAGTTCAGCAAATTTTCAAAACAAAGACACAAAGTGAATGGAGTAAATTATTCGAGTCGGTTGATGCATGCGTATTTCCAGTGCTACAGTGGAAAAATGCCGAGCAACATCCGCATAACAATGTTCGAAATTCCTTTGTATCGAAAGCAGTTACAGATGGTATAGTTGTGCCAACTCCAGCGCCGTTGCTTTCGCGCACACCAGCAGTTTCAGGTGTTCAATGCGAATGTCAAAACTATTCAAAGCAAATCGAGGAAATATTCAAAGACGCTGGATTGACTGCGGCCGAAGTCAAGAAATACCAAAAAGATGGTGCTCTGATTTTACCGAATAGTAATGCAAAGCTTTAGTGTGGTGATCTATTCTTTTTGTGTCAGCTGATATGTTATGGTTTTTATCAAATAATTTGGAATTTTTTGGGGATTTTTTATACAAGTTGTAACAAATGAATACACGTTTTTTGTATTAAAAAATTGGTATAAATTTTTATTCATTCATTTAGAAGAAATACATCGAAAATAACAATGAGGCACTTGTAAACTATGCTATTTTATTTGATGGTTTTTCTCTCAATCAAAAGTGATATGAATTCGTCGATGATCTGAAAGGACAGTGTTATGTATAGCCACCTTATGCGACATATCCTCGCAATTCGTTAAAACATGATCGATGATCGTTCGAGACGTCGCTCCGACCCGTGTGGCTGATGTTTTGTTTAAGATGTAGAATCCATGTAACTCTATCATGTTACGATATTCAAGGTGTCTGTTGGTTTGCGATAAGTCAATATTGATATCACCGACGATTATAGTTCCACGCCTATCATTATGAATATCCCTTAAAAATGGTTTCAATATCGGGAAGAATGTAGCATTATCCACAGTTGGTGATTTGTACATCACAGCTATATTAATCTCTGCGCTAGGAATTCTGACAACGAGCATATTGACGAAGTCTCTGTTCCGGCTAAAGAGTTCAGTGCATCCTAAACTTCTGTGCACATATAAGGCCACACCACCATATCCATCTGGACTGCATTTGAAGAACGGTTTATAGTAAGTGATTGGGAATTCCGGGACTTCTGATGTTTTGATTTTTGTCTCCGTCAACGCTATGAAATGCACCATTTGGCCATGACATTTTTTTTTCAAAGCTAGCTATTTCAGCTATGATGTCGTCCAGCTTATTCCGCAAAGAGTTTATATTGAAGTACAATATGTTGAAATCCCCCAGATTTCGATGGGTCATTGTAACAGCGGTTTTACTTTGTCACAACTATTTCACAATATACGGGAATGCACAATATACGATTTTGTTTGTGTTGCAAGATACGGCCGACACTGAGATTATCAGAAAAACGATAAATTATTAATTATTTAATTTATTGGGCAAACTCAAAGCATAAAAGATTAAAATAAATTAAATGATAAAGCCAACAAAATGAAGAGGCGACAACAAACGAGTTTTTCCATACGAAATAGACAGAATGCATTTAGACACTGAGGACACACCGCTATATTGACGACATTCTTCTGAACTACCTTGACTGTACTTTGAACTGTTAAGTATATTGCAATATAGATTATGGCATAACCTCAAAATGAATTTAGTTTATCATTTAAATTGTTTTTAAAATTTTTCTAGGCTGATTCTTGAAAATTCCACTAGTAAATTATCGATATGTGTCTTGGATGAAGATTTGTTGAAAATGTACAGATTATTTTTTGTTTCTGGAATCAATGAAACTTCATCTACCAACCTTTATCCGACTATGCACTACTGTATCAGTCGAAGACGGCATTTTTTATATGTACACATTTAAATGTAAAACCACATATTAAATGTGATTCTGTGAAAATATTTCAATTCCATGTAAATTTCATATACAATTTCATAGAACTACAAAAAAAAAATTCTGACTTTATGTCGAAATCCAAAATGATTCATCTCAAACCAGCGCCATCTGTTGTTTCACACTGTAAAATTTTAGAATTTCCGTAAAAATGTTCATAAAATATATGTGTGAATCTTTGGAAGAAAATAACTCCGTTTAACATTGGCGATATAGGTGGCGAATAAGTAGTACTTTCAGACAATACTTTTATCCACTGTTTTTGAGTATCAACAAATACACATGAAAAAAGCAAAAAACAAAAATGTTGAGGAGAGACAACACTTGTTTCAATTAATGTGTGGGAATATGTTGAGGTTTGACATTAGGATTTTGATTAGGTGGCGCTGTGAAAAAGTTGTAATATTTAACTCAACTCTCCCATTCCCACGAGCAATAACAGCGATCAACAGTTTTGTGTGTCGATAGCGTTGAGAGATGCTTCCTAATTTTTGAAAATATTCTGCTTCAAATAGTATTACAATCATTTGTTACTCGTTTAGCTATTTAAACTATTATCCGTATAGATGGAGTTGTTCGCTTAGTATTTGAGATAGCTCTATGAACTAGTGTTTGGGCTATTGCGATCATTATGAACAGTTCACAATAGTTAAGTCACATATTCTCTTAGGCACAATTTCACACAAAGAGTAAGATTTTTATATGGTGTTTGTTATGAATGTGTGAGAAAGAACTGATCTGAAGAAATAACAATTGAACCATTTCAATTATTTATAGATTTGCTATAAAGCCCACTAAAATGCGACGAGAAATAATCCAGTAAACAAAGTCAACAAGTCTTGTGAGTGGAAAAAACTTCAAATCTTCTTCGTGCCTTTTTCTTTTCACTATTCATCTAACAATTTTATCAATTTGTATCATCATATTTTGACTAGATTTTTGTAATTCTTCTAAAGGACACTTTGTAGAAAAATCCGTTAACACTCGATGAATTGCGTTCAAATCATAGATAGCGTGCTCTCGACCTAGCTTAGCCTCATTTAAAACCAATTTGGCGTTGTTCTGAAGAATGTTCAGTCGATTTGCCAGAATAGTTTTTAAAATATCCAAAAACATTCGAAAATCTAGACCAAAATCGGATTTCAGCATGAGCTGGCAGTGCTCTTCAAAGCCATCCATATCTTTGCAGTCGTCAATCTCTCGTAAGACCGCATTGAATTTAGACAAGAGAGCATCCCATATGCAGTGAATGTTACAGCCGTTGAACCAGTTGTGGTTAATAGATATGGTGTCTTCTAAATTCCAAACTTGGTGATGCCAACCACTTGGTACGAAAACAGTTTGACCTGCCCGTTGTATCACTTCAAAAAAACGTATATCTCTTTCATGAATTCGACATTGATATATTTCATTGTTCATGTCAAATGGTAAGTTGCCTAGGCCATCGCGTAGTTTATCTTCTTCATGTGGCGAGAAGAAAATCCACTTCTTTGTTCCAACTATATTTGTCGACCAGCTGAACGATGAAAACACATCAGCATGAAATGGTGTCCTGAAGTTTGAAAAGAGAAACATAACTTAAAATAAGGAAATATTCTCCACTGGTATTTGTTTACCATGTTCCCTTCGGTCCCATATAAACGAACCGATAGTCATCGGCTTTCTTCTCCGCACAATATTCATTCAGCCAATCAGATGCAAAGTAAATTGGTGTTCTATAAAATCCATAATCTGGTTGATTGTGTCGCAAATGCCAATCTTTCAAATACAACAAGTTGCTTGATTCGCGTTCATTCTGTTGAATTTGAGTCTGCCAATAGTCAATGAATTGTCCAAATTGCATTTCGGATTTTTCGTGTGAATTGAAGTACACTTTGCTACAGTTGGCAATTGGAATATCTTGATTGACGTTAATTGTTTTCTTCAAATATTCAAAATTGATGCGGCAATTTTCGCCAGTGTTCACCCAGTTCATACATTCCCAGCGATCAGCAATCCCTGTGATTAAAACCGGTATATTTTTCACCATGAATTTATCGAAGAAGTCATTATATGTTAGGCTATCAACATGATGCGCTTCAATTTCTAGCACCACTGGAAATGAATTTATCTCTTTATATTTTTCATGATTTTCTATCTCAATTTCATCATCACACATCATTCCACAAAATTTATTTATTCCAGTCGAACGTTGAACTCAATAACAATCAACATAACCCATATTTCGGTGAAATGTCAACTAAAAACGTCAGCCTTGCATGGTTGTCAGTTGACTGTCATCAATGAACTCATTCTTTGTGAATTTATGTGTACAATTACATCCGGAAATGTAGTATTTGTTTGAGTTATGAAACAATAACAAGAAAAATAGTAATAAAATTATAAAAAATTCCCAGCTGACCGAGTAACTAATTCAATTAAGAAAGAAAGCGAAAGAAAGTGGAAATTGAGCAATAGAGGCAATCAACAATCTCAGTTTGGGAAAACATAGAGCGTAACAATGAAATATCACACATCACCAACAACGTCGCAGACAAATCTGTACAATGATAGTTCAATATATCGGAGTACTTCGCCGTTGCCACCTCCAGCCACCACATATTGTCTGTCAGCAACGACAAAGAGCTACAAATATCTCCGAAAAATCGTTAAATTCGATCAAATGGACTTTGAATTTGCCATGTGGCAAATGATTTACTTGTTCATCTCACCGCAGAAGTTATACAGAAATTTTAGCTATAGAAAACGTAAGCAAACCATCTGTTGATAATAATCATAACGATAAAATTATATTTTTTTGTGTTGACTGTAATTAGTTTGTTGTGAGTCATGAACTGAACATTTATTTCAATTTTCAGAAACTAAGTCTCAGTTTGCTCGCGATGATCCCGCATTTTTGGTTCTGTTGATTTTGTGTCTGTTTGGTAAGTGCTCAGTTGAAAATATGATGTTTCTTTTCACATTGACATGAATGTTTGTTTTGATGTTGTAGTTACATCAATTGGATTCACCTGGACATTAAATTTGACATTTGGTCAAACGCTGTACTGCATCGCATATATACTCATCGTTGATTTCATTTTGGCTGGCATCGCTATGACAACATTTACATGGCTATTAGCGAATCGATACTTACGACAAAATCCAAACGAAGCTGACGTTGAATGGGGCTATAGCTTTGACGTGCACATGAATGCATTCTTTCCACCACTGGTTTTGCTTCACTTCGTTCAACTCATCTTTTTCAACAGTAAGTTCGAATGGAGTTCTTTTCATTGAACTTGTACAAAATGCTATATTCATTGAGTATTGACATAACGTTTGTATGCGTTTTTGTTTTTTCAGGTGTTATCAATTCAGAGTACTTCTTCTCCAGACTATTTGGCAATACAATTTGGTTAATCGCAATTCTTTACTACGTCTATATCACGTTCTTAGGTTTTAATTGTGAGTGTTTTTCATGCCGAAACCAATGCATTTTCTATGGTTGTTTTGATTGAAAGCAATAATTCTAACAATTTTCTTCTTTTTCAGGTATTCCCTTCCTAAAGAACACTCGTATTATTTTGGCGCCAATCCCAGTCGTCATTCTATTCTATGTCATGACATTGATCATTGGATGGAATATAACGATGTCATTTGTTAATTTCTACCATTATCGAGTCCTGTAAATGTGTTTAAGTTTCTAACTATTTTTCTTACTGAGCTTCAACATTATTAACTAAATCATCAATAAAATTCTATACATTACAAATAAAACGAACAAAATATAAACAAACTTTGCTTCTGAGATTCTTTATTTGTTGAGATTTCAATACTAAATACTTCGTGGCTTCATCATAACAGAGAATGTTTTTGGAGAAAAAAAAAAGAACAACTTAACAAAAAAAAAATGAATGTGATGATTTAACGAGAAATAAATTCACTTCTTCTTAGAAGATGATGCTTTGCTGGTGCCCGCACGGCCTTTGACCGATGTGCTTGGCTTACTGTTCTTGGCACTTCCGCTTGCTTTTGAGCTTCCGCTTGCTTTTAAACTTCCACTGGGTTTCTTCGCTTTGATCAATGTGTCATTTTCCAGCTTGTCGTCATCTTCGTTATCGCTGTCGCTCCCTTGACCGCCTTCTTCACCCAACTCGTTCATGTAGTCTTCATCGCTAACGGCTACCATCTTCTTTTTCGTAGCTGTGATGGCAGAGTATGTGTATGGTGCAACCTCTTTGTTGTAGGCACGAGTGAGTGCGGCTTTGACACGACCATCGACCGAATCCCATAGACCCTTTTTGCCAGGCCATGTGGTCAGTTCGACCAATGCATCGAGATCTTCGCGCAGCAAACGGTATTCTTTCATTACGTTAAGTGATTCTTCGACTCCTTCATTTTGATCGTCAATCATTGGTTGAACAATGTTGTGCAGCAAGAATGGAGCATAATCAAGACGAATCGATACACGTGAGGCACTTGTACTGCAAATGATGAATAAAATTAAGCATTTTCTTTACGTTAATATAAAATACAGTATTTAAAATACTGTTGTTCGTTATACTTACCGAATACGAGTATGATCGTGAATTTCCTGGGCCAAACGGCTGCGCTTCTGTGTTTTCGAGTACTTTCCGAGCCAGCCGGGAAAGTTGATCTGAGATGTGATCTGGCCAGACATGTATTCACCGGGCATAACCGAACTATACATCGCTTGAACTGGTAACAATGACCATGCCATTCGACTACGAATTCGATTTTCAACCAAATCACCTAAACTTAAACTGTCAGCTGTCAAAGCTACTTGTTCAATTGTTTTGGATCTAATCAAAACAAAAACATTGAATGGAGATTAATTTTTTTGAAAATATTAATGGTTCACTTAATTTTCACTTACTTTGGACCATTTGGAACAACGCTCAAGTAATTTTGCTGTACAAACAGTGGACCCAAACTGTAATCGTGAAAGAATAAATCGGCTTTATCATTCAATGACATTGTTTTGTGCTCCTCGGCTGAAAACACCTTTCGCACAACTTCCCATGGACCAAGTCGCAAATCTTTCTTGCCATTATCGTTGCGCAATCCACTGCCGGTGGCATCTGGTTTTACGCTGATCAATGACAGTGAGTTCAATGTTTGTCGCACATCATGATTCGTGGCTTGAATAATCTCTTCGATTGTTTTTGGTGGCAGTTTCACACCTTCTTTGAACAGAATCGACATAACGACACCTTTGATTTGAGGCAATTGCGGTCGTGCGAAACGTAAATCAAAGCAATGATTGATCAATGAACGTATTTTCTGATGATTGCGATCATTGCACATGCAAATGATGGGTACCGATGATGCCTTTATCAGTGCAATGAGTTCGGCCATTCCACCGCGATCCTCATTACCAGCCATTCCATCGACTTCATCCATCAGAAGCACCTTTTTCTCGCCCAATTTCTCAGCACGTCCAGTGCCGTAAGCATGAAGTGTATTGTTGGCAATCAAAGCGGACACTTCGTTTTGCAACAGTTTCTTGCTTCGCGTATCGGATGCATTGAATTCAATTGTGTCGTAGCCCAAATGCTGGCAAACTAACGAAGCCGTTGTCGTTTTACCAACGCCAGGTGGCCCAGATAGCAACGCTGCTTTGAATGCGGCACCATCATCGTTCTTTGCCCATGGATTTGGACGTGCGTGCTTCTTTTTACCATCATTGTTTTTGGGCCAGTTTTCCAACCATTTGATGAGCCTAAGGAATAGTTTGGTTTAAAATATCGAATCTTATGGTGTAAAACAAATTCGATTGCCATTTGCAAATCGTTTTTAATCGAATTTGACGCTTAGATTCTAACCAGGTAGATAAAGGATTGACTTACTTGTTACAGTTACTGTTCGGGCCTTGTTGACCAATGATATCTTTGATTGTTTTCGGTTTGTACTTTTCTACCCATGGCTGTGGAGTATCTTTACTGATTGGCGTTGGTGGCTTGGGCTTTGGAGCTTCTTAAAATGAAGAAAATAAATGGAATTAATCAAAATACTAAATATTCATTCATTTTTTAAATACCTTCAGCTTTAACTGGTTTCGCTTCGACTTTAATCTTCTTTGGCGATTCGTATTTTGCCGGCGAATGAGTGCGTTTATCGTTTTTAGCTTCTTTTGGCAATTTCTTTTCCTCCTTGCGTGGTGATTTCACTTCTTCTTTCTTCACCTTTTTCTTGAGTGTTGGCAGACCGGATTTTTCACGAATCAAATCCAACAAATCATCTTCATTGATGATGGGAATATTCATATCTTCAGCTTTGGCCAATTTGGCCGGACCACTTTCTTCGCCAGCAACAACGTAATTCGTTTTCTTCGATATGGCACTTGTGACACGGCCACCCAAATCTTTGATAACCGCACCCGCTTCCTCACGTTCCATTGATTCAAAGACACCTGTCAAAATGAATGCCAAACCCTCCAAGCAGTTTGGTTTGCCCTTTGGAATCTCTTTGCTGCCTGGATTCGATGGACCGGCACGTTTCTGGAATTGTTTGTACAACATAGCCGCTGCACGACGCTTCTCATGCTTCTCCTGATCAGTATCAATTGGATCGAGTTCCACTTCATCGTCGTTTGTTTGCTTGGGCTTTTTGTTCGATGCGGGAGTTGCAGATTTTTCTTTCTTCTTCTTGGCTGAGCGATCATCATCTGACTCCTTCTTCCGGTCATTTTTTTCCTTCGATTCATCACGTTTTTCTTTTTTGACCGGTGTTTTCTTCTCGGCCTTAATGGCATCGGGCGATTTCTTTTCCTGTTTTACCTTCTCCGGTGTTTTATTGTTCTTTGTTTTCAACGGTGTTTTGTCTTTCACAGGCGATTTTATCTCTTCCTTCACTTTCACATCTTTTTTGGTGGAGCCTTTTTTCTTTGTACTCGGTGACAACAGTTCTTCATCAACATTCATCAGCTCCATGTCATCGGTGTCTGCGTCGAAAACGTTCAAGTTTACGATTTGATTCGGTTTCTTTTCTTTTTCAACTCTCTTGACTGGCCCACTGCCGAAGGCATTCGAAACATCGACCGTTTTCATCTTCGACAATTTACTCGACACAGTGGCCACCGGATCTTTTGATGTCTTCGACTCTTTTGGCTCATCTTCATCCGACGAGTAAATGACACGACGTTTCTTTGATTTCGATTCATCATTTCGTGATGAAGGTTTTACCTTAGCATCGCTAGGTCCATTTTTACGGCCACCATCATCATTATCATCACTGTCATCTAAAACAACTGGCTTCCGTTTTTGAGCGCTATTCGGTGCAGCTGGTGCCGCTGGCTTTGCGCCCATCGAAAAGAATGACCGAATATCCTGTGCAAAATGAAATCATCAACAATCAATTTCACAACAACTAAAAAAACTACGACGCAAATTACTCACTCTACTGCCCATTGTTCGTTGATACGATAAACAGCAATTTGAAAATTTCCAAGGTGCAATCAAAAATAGTGGTTTGGTTAAAATGCAATATTGTGCAATATAAATTCAACACAAACGTGAATCAAAATTGACATATCTTGATCTGCCTTGCTGATTGTAAACCACTTTTTGGCGCAATTGGTGTCACTTCGAATCACACCAACAAAAAAACACTGTTCGAATGTCGTTGCTGTCGTTGTCGACAAAACTTCACACTGTTTGACAGATGCAACCACGTTCAAAAGATTTCGGTGGGATTTTTTAAATGGCTTTTGTTACAAGTGTTTAAATAGATTTATTTTACGTTTTCTTTTTGAAAATGGATTGTTTTTTACTTTTGTATTGATTCTGTCGGCAAAAAAATTGCTTGTTTAAAATAGAAGAGATTTTGTGGAAATTCAAATTTTGTTCACGTTCAAAACATTCTGATACAGCTTGAACAATCACTTTTAATGATTGAATGACAAGTGGAGCTAACAACCTAACTGTACTATGATTTGAGGCTAAAATATGTCCAAAAAAAATTCACATCTCCCAGATTTTTTAATAGGCTGACTATTTTTGATAAAAACTTCATACCTTGACTCATATTATGTTGAGATTATCGCGTAACGCACTCATTTCAATCGGCGTAGCATTGCGGTGTTTCATTCGGATTTCAAAGGCTACTTTGATTTATTCAAATTCATTGAGTGTACACAGATTTGTGTGAATATTGAAATGGATTTGGATTATTTTCCCTTCTTCGACAATGATATGAAACGTTTTCTTATTTAAACTAAAAAATTACTTGTGTGTTTAGAAATATCACAAAATCGTTGAATTCTATACATTCAAGTAGATGGATTAGCCTTCTCTAATTCCAATATCATCTGTAAATAAACTTTTTTCGGGCTATAATTTTCAGCGTTTAATGATATGAAATGCTCAATCAATGTTATTGTTGTGCAACTGAATTTGAATGTTTAAATTTCAATTTTAAAAAGAAGTATCTGAAAATGTTGCGCATTTCAACGCAATAATTCGACGCATTCGAACTGCGGCAGTTATGTATGTAGTGTATGATATTGTATCAGAGTCAAACTGACGTGACATCAATGCAGTGGTGACATTTGAATACTTGTGATTTGTTGTAAATAGATCGTACTGTAGGCAAAACCAGATGATGAGCACAATTAAATTAGTCATTCATGCTTTAAGCTAACTATTTTAATATTAATTAAAATACAAACAAGAAAACGCAAAGAAAATATTCGTTGTGGAAAGTTTTTGGCCAAAGATCGTAATCATAAAAAGCGTTTTGAATTTTTCTTTCTCTGTTCCCGTACAAGTGCAATTCAATTGGATTGAAGCCGCAAATGTAAACTGTGTCAGTGGAGAAAATATTTCTTCTAGTTCACGTACGTCGAAATTAATTTTGCATAATGCCTCGATCGCCGATTCCATTGTGCGTAGCTGACAATGTGCAGCGATTGAACGAGATGGCGGAGGTGGGTAAAGAAATAAAACGAAAACAAACATTGCTGTAAGTACTTTTGAAAAATCAATTGGATAAATTTATCATATGATATCACTTTTGTTGTTGTGTATTGACAGGCTCAGCAAATCCACGCAAAAAGTGTTGGCCAAAGCTGAAGAGTTTTACAAGCTAGGCGATGAAGAACAGGCATATATTATGTACATGAAATACTTCGCTTTGATAGAAATCATTAGGAATGCAAAAGATTTTTCCAAAGTCAAGGGCGCCGTAAAAGAATTATTGGGTGGAAATAAAGACATTTTTGCTCGTATGGACTTATTGGAAGAATTGAAAGATAGTTTATTGAAAAGGTAAGTAAACGTAACATTGAAATTACTTGAACGATGTATAGATTAGACATAAGAATTGGGGAATATATAAAAATCAAATAATCATGTGCATAAAATGGTACTAAACGCCATTTGATTTTATGCAGGTATGCTGAAAGGAAAAAACTTTTTGAAGCTGCACAACATAAAGCGGAGCAGGAAAAGAAAATGGTTACAGCCAATGAAACGGCTAGTGTACCAGTTACAAAGTTCCTCAGTTGCACTAATTTGTACAACATAATCAAAAATACGGAACAGCATACTCTGTTGTTGATCGACTGTCGTTCGAGCGATGATTTTTTGGGGTCGCAAATCAGATACCAGAATTCGATCAACATTCCTGGCGATACCATCAAACATGGGTAACAATTTAGTTTATCTTTGTTCAACAATTGAAATATAAAATCGGATTCTTCTTTTAGTACATCTGCATGGTTATTGTCAAGAGAAATTGCGCCAAATCGGCAAAGTCTATGGAATGCTCGTGACAAAATGGATTTGGTCGTTTTAATAGATGAGGATACTAGCGATAGTAAGAGCACATCGACTAACACATCGAAGCCAATCTGGACATTGCGAAACATTTTATTGAATGTAAGACTGATTCGAATTCAAAATCTTCTTTTCTACTACGTATACACATCTAACATTCTTGCCGTGTGTTTTTTTCTTGTCAACATTCAAAGTGGGATCCGGATATGCAATACAAAAGTGTCCTTTTGCTCGACGGAGGTTTCCAGAAATTTGGTCTTGTTTATCCCATGTGGGTGACGAATCCAAAGTACAAGCCGAAATCAACAGATGCACCTGCCATCCCAGCTGTGAGTGACATTGAATATCCAAATTTGGGAGACATTAAAATGAAGCCAAAGCCAACGGAACAACCATCTAGCAATGTGCCGCGAATTGATCGCAGTAACAAACCAATATTTGGACAAAAGTCCATCGAACAACAGCAACCGATCAATTCGGTGTCGATTGTTCAAGAACGTGAAAAGATTTTGGATCAAATTTTGCAAAAAGATCGAGAGGCCTTACGAATCGGAGACGAATTGAGCAACATTGTCAATGCACCAATCAAACAAAGTGAAGCGGAACACGACGAATGGTTGACGAAACAAACTGAGCTTGAATATAAATTAGTTCAGAAAGAAAATGAATTGAATGACACCATCATGGAATTGAGTACGATCACAACACCAGAATTGGAAAATAAGCTTCAATTCGATACGTCGAATCCAGATGTGAAGAAAATCGTTGCTAGAATCGAAGAGAAATCGAATGAACATGCTGAATATGAACGACGAATGAAACAGAGATTTCAAGAAATCGAGGAAAAGCGCAGGACGGCCAGAGAACAACAAAAACGTCATTTGCAAGTAAGTTTTTGTTATCGTTCATGGATAATGAACAACTCTTCTTTTTTATTCCATATAATTTTCATTAATGTTTCGATGGTTTCTCGTACATGACAGTTAAAAGAAGAGGAAGAAGAATTGATTCGTCCAAAGCAACCAGCCTTTGATCGTTCTGTGAAACCTGCTTCGGACAATCTCCAAATGAGATTTCCACAAATTCATCGCAATTTCGAACCCGTGTACGGTTCATACGGTGACATTGGAGCAACTGGTTTGAAGAATCTGGGCAACACTTGTTATATGAACAGCATTATTCAATGCATCTTGAATCTTGAGACATTCTGCGAATATCTAAAAAGAGATGGATATTTAAAGCATGTTAATCGGTATGAATTTTGTCCATTTTCACCCATTTATCCTACTATTATATCCAACATTTTTTATCATAGCGACTAATATACCTGAATCTATCTGCAGAAAGAGCAAAACGCACGGACAAATTACTGAGGAATTGGCTCAGTTGTGCAAAGAGCTTTGGTCGGGAAAGTACAAAAGTGTTGCACCGCGCGATTTCCGCAATGTGATTGGACAAGAGCACAAAATGTTTGCCTCCTATGATCAGCAAGATTCACATGAGTTCCTTGTCATTTTGATAGACATACTGCACTCGGAATTGCAATTTCCGATGGATGACGTAAGCAATTTTTTCAGTGGAATCGAAAAAATTTTTAACATTTTTTTTCTTCATCTGATTGCTATAACCATTCTCCCATCAACAGACAATATTGAATGAAAACATGAACAAATCGGAAGTGGCTTGGCGTGAATTCCTGAAAAATATGCAAAGTATTATTCATTCGATGTTTTTCGGGCAAATTCGAAGCACAGTCAAGTGTCGATCTTGTAAATTTGAAAGTGCAACTTACGAGGGCTTTTCGCATTTGAGTTTGGAATTGCCACAGGATAATCGACAGTGTGACATATACGATTGCCTTGATTTGTATTTCGATGGTGAGGTTATCGAGGGTTGGACATGCCCACAGTGTAAACAAAACCGTGAAGCAATCAAAAAATTGGATATTTCCAGACTGCCACCCGTGCTTGTGATTCATTTGAAGAGGTTTGTTTACATCACAATCAAAATGTTCAGTCGAATAAATTTTGCTTGATCTCTTTGTAGATTCTATGCCAGTTTGGACACACCAAATACATACCACAAGAAACCAAACTATGTTCATTTTCCCACCAACGATTTTCAAATCAAGGACTACATTACGAATTCGTTGAAACAACGACTAATGTTAAATTCGTATGATCTATTCGCCGTATCTAACCATTACGGTACAATGAATCGTGGCCATTACACTGCATTTTGTAAAAATGCCAAGTCACAAGCGTACGTATTCAATCATTGAATATTTATCGAAAAAGTATGGCATTTCAGCTAATGGTTGAATTTTATTTTGTCACTCTTAGATGGTATAAATACGATGATAACTATGTCACACAAATTGCTAGCAACGATGTGAACTCAAGTGCTGGATACATTTTATTCTACTATCAACAATAAAGAATGCGTTTCTTTTCATTTTCATTTAAATTAATACAAATCTGAGCATATTTTTTATATTGATTGCTATTTTTATTGTTGTGAGCTGTTTCAATTTGGTGGATCGCAGTTATTTACAAAGAAAAAAAAGGCTTAGGTCTCTATGTTTTTTTTTTATTATTATATAGCAGAATAAAGGCACTATTTCGGAAGAAAATATAAATGGTCATTTACTCCTCGTCATATTCTTCTATCGACTGGTTTCTCTGTGCAGGAAAAAGATTCAGTTTTTGCTCATTGATCGTATTTACGGAATCAAATTGGTAGACCGGGTTGATTGGCTCTTGTTTGGGTGTTGCTGTGTACATTTGTGTGCTCTGACTTCGCGCCAATGCCGACTTTAACTCTAGCTCTTCCACCTGGGAATTGAAGAAATGATAAATTAGCTGGGTTTTCGTCTTTCTAAGCAAAAAATAGTCTCATTGAAATTTACTAGTAATTTGTTAATGTGGTCTTTGATTGTTTCCAGTGATTTCTTTAGCTCTTTTTCTGTTTGCAACAATTGTATTTGTTCTCGCAGTATTTCAGCATTGGCCGGCGGTCCACGCTTTTTTCGTGGAGACATTCTGAAATTTCTCTAATTTTTTTTTTCACTTTTTCTTGACACAATCTCAGTTAATTTGAACTTTTTCCCACTAATTCTTTGTATCCTTATCAAAATCAAAATCGTTTACTGCTCGTTCAAGTCTTTTCCTACGGTCGATTGGTTTGTCATTTATTTTGACATCTAAACTGACCTGACAAATACTGAAACAAATGACGCAGCGTTAGTATAGGAATTTTCCATAACTAATTTTTGAATAAAATCTCTTATTCAATTTGGAAAAGAAAACATTTTCCAACATAAATCAATTCGATGGGTCAAACAAAATAGAAAAATAATTTTTTCACACAAATCATGAAATAGTTCTTTTCATTTCATTCGGGGTTTGCGTTACTTGCGGTATATGTTTACGTTTATCAGCCAATGCAGTGCAGTGGTGTAACGCATTTGAATTTGGGTGGTGACTGCACTTCTGTGCATAAAAAGCTTTGTTTTTGTTTGTAATAAAATAGACGACGTCATAAAAGGGTGTTTTTAATGTGTCGCTTTGGGATTTCACTCAATTTGGTAATTAATTCAAGCGAATAACCGCTGAATTCATGTTGAATTCCATAAAACGATTGTGAAAAGTTCAAACTATTTCAGTTGGAGTGCATTAAATTAAAGAAATTAAAATGATAAATGCTGAAAATTCCAATTCGGTTCCGGTGTTTGTGCCGCCACGAAAGCGTCAGACATCGAAGAAGCAAAACGGTGTGCAGAATTATGTGGATCATATAGTTTGTGTGCAGGTGAGCAACGCCTAATATTTCATTTATTTTGAACAGATCAGTAAATCGAGCCAATTTTCTTTTTCAGCCAACTGATCGAAAATACCCGATATCATCGAGTTTGGAAGATTTACTTACTAAAACGAATCAAGCAAGTGAGCGAAAGCAATTGGTCAGTTCAATGAAGGCTGCGAGCAAGACATCGATTGATTGCAATTCGAAGAAATCACCAATCCATGACATACATTTATCCATTGAGGATGTTATTAAAACGCAATCAATGTGCCGGAAATCGCCATCGATGCGAAATGAAAGCCTCAAGACCGCTGCACCGACAAGTCGTTCAGAGGATAATTTGGACATCAATCGAGTGCCAACCGATACTGTGCGTCAGTTTAAGAAGCGTGTCAATATACTCACCTCAGTCGATCATCCGTCGTCGAAGCAAAAATTGTGCAGCTCAACCATTAGCATCGAACATGAGCATGCCGAATCAAATACCGAAGACTCGAATGAAGTGAATCTGTTGAATTCGAAAAATAGTTCGTTGGCTCGTACACGATTGCCCGACAACTATCTAACCATGACAGGTACAATAAAGCGAGGCAAAAAGAAGGGACAATGCCTCGATGTGCAACTGAACATATCCCGCGATGAATTGGAGAAAATCAATTCAACGGCTTTAATGATGCAAAAAGTGAATGAAGAATCACAAAAATCCTGCTGTGTATGCTCGTTGGCATCGGGCATTCACATTTTGTTGCTCTCACTACTGTCACTGCCCTTTGTGGTTGTCATCACAAGTATTTATGCATTTTACGTTGGCACCATAACATGGTACAACATGTTTACTTACTTCAACGAAGAGAAATCCTATTTGCATAAGTTTCTAATGTCACCATTGCTTATCATTGCCTATCCCATTGGGATTGTGCTATGTACAATCGGTCTTGCCATTTATTCGGGTATCGTTCAAATCAGCACAAAGTTCGTCAAGTGGTCGAACGAAATTGCTGACATTGAAAAAGGTTTCTATGGATGGTTGTGCAATTTTCTGCACCTATCCGATTGCAGCCCATACGAGGTTGTTATACTCACTGATCTCAAGGTGGCCGACGAAACGGTACCAGCCAACTCATCAACCGAAGAACTCTCAATCTAAGTCACATCACGTGTGCATGAGCTCGTCACACATTCGAATGAACTGAACATGAGTCATGACTAAATGATATTTTTAAATCAAAATACTGCGCATCTATATCAAAAACCAAGAACGTATTATCTAACTGTAGCGTTACAACTAGTCAACTTTGCTTGTAGCTTTTGTAATTTTATACCATTTCGTATTTATTTCTCTTCCCAATATTTGTACTGAATTGATTGTATATCATTAGAAGATGTAAGACACATTTCTATACGCAAATAAACAATATCGATTTGTAATTTTCCATACACTTTATTCATGCTGTCTATCACTTATATTCGTTTATGTACGGTGAAAATGTTGAACAAATCCTAATAATTGTTTCATTTGTCGCTCGTTTTATCTTTTGTTTCCGTTTTACTCTCCGATTGATTTTGTTTTTTTAGCACATCTTTTAGCTCATGATCGATTCGCTCTTTCGCCCGAAACACTTTTGATTGCAGGTAAAATGAACCGCCGTTTGACTTTTCGTTCAAGTTAAACATGAGTTCGTATTTGGCTTGCACTTCTTTTGGATCTAGTTTATCAACATTTAGGATTTGCATGGCCTCTTCTAATGTAATGCCTGGACAATGGGGAAAAGGGTAAAATTTTACGGTCAATGTTTGATTGAAATATGAAACGATGGTAATCAGAATCAAAATGATGTCAATTACCTGTTTGTGCATTTGCTGCGGCTCTTTGATTGCCTCGCTGTCCACCGCCCGCTCTTTTTGCCGCCTCTTGTGACGCCTGAATTTCTTGACGAAGCGCTTTGCTAAATGCCTTTCCAATGGCCTGTGTTCCTAGTACTATAATTTGTATCAAATGTTTTGCCATTGTTACTTTTTAACTAAACAATTCGAAAATAGAGCTTATTATATAACAAAAGAAACAATTATTCGAAATTTTCGTGTAGTGTTAACACATTTTGGTGACCTATTGCGTATAGTCGAAAAAAGTGATAGTAGCATAACCTCATTTTCTGCTCTGATGTTTTGAACATTTGACTTTGACACATTCTGCGCACATGACAGCCAACTGGTCCGATGATAAAAACGGATCGGTTTTGAGCGCGTTGCACATTGCGTCTGGTGCGGAGCAAATACACTGTTACATTTGGTCCGGTTGTTTTTTTTTGTTTTCATTCAAACCTTCAATTCAATAACAAATCTTTGACTTTGATCAAAATGTAAACAATGAAAAGAATGAAACATTCAATTTTAATTTTGGCTTAATTCTTTATTTTCACCGTTCGCTATAAATTAGATAAATACAATAGACATTTATTGTTCGTTTTTCTCATATAAATTATTAATTACAATGTTACAACTGGAAATTTTGCTAGTTAAAAACCTACGGAAAGAAGAAATTGGCATATATCCAAAAATCGAATCTAATAGACATACAAATAATTTTTGCTTGAAATATATGGCTTCAAAATGAAATGTTTCCTAAAAAGAAAGTTTTCTCCTTATGATGTAGTCTTCTGCAATTGCGAACATAGCTATCCAAAGCCCGGATTCGTATGCTCAATAACACATCGTTTGCAGTACATTTTAACGGCTCTGTATCCTTCGATGGAGATTTGACAATCCTGAATATTTAGATGCTGCAGACCACGACAATAGTATGCGATGCACTGTATCCCCCGATCGGTGATCATATCACAATTTTTTAAGCTAATTTTCTTCAAGTTTGGACAACTTTCAGCTAACGCATGTAGTCCAGCGTCGCTAACATCACATTTTCCTATATCGAGAGCTCTTAAACGTGCACACGAATGCGCCAACATTATGATCGAATCATCACTAACCGCTTCACATCCGCGACAGTTTAAATAACGTAATTTGTAGCACCGTCTCGCAATCACTTTCAATCCAGCATCCGAAACTTGGTCACACTTTGCCACTGATAGATATCGAAGTGTTGCACCCAACTTTGCCAGCTCATATAGACCGAAATCGGTAATATTTCCACAGTCTGATACACTCAACTCACGCAGTGCCGTACAAAAACTGGGCACGAATTTAAGTCCATAATCTGAAAAGAGATGGGGAAAGACATTAGGAAAAGCGGTGAAAATTTCAACATTTAGATATAGAAAAGCAGCTTCTGGATTATGTTTGACTGAGCAGCTCAGTAGAAGTTAATTTAATTGAACACAAACCTGTAATTTGTGTGCATCGACGCAGATACAAATAAACCAATTGCGGACAGTTTTGTACAATAGTTTTTAGCCCATTGTCATCGATGCCATAACAATCGGTTAAATCTAGGAATTGAAGCAATAAGCGACGTGGTGGGTCGAAATGATGATTGAAGTCGACAGTCACTATTTGTGTGCAACCTGAAAGAAAGAAATTAACAATCAGCAAAACTGTAAGGAGAAAACGTGATGAAAATTTGGACTGCTTGACTGGTACTCACCTGACACGTCTAAATGTTGTAAATTTGTACATTTTGTGGCCAATTGAAAGAGGGCAGCATTTGATACATTGTAGCTCATTTGGATTTGAAGGTGAGTCAACTCAGGGCAACGTCGAGACAGTAATTCCATGCCTTTATCGGTTATGCGACATCCATCACTTAGCATAACTCGTTCAATTTCTGGGCATGACACATTTCTGGTGTAGTTGCTAAGATGTCGAACTATTGAACGAAGCGCTCGATCTCCATTGATTCGTTCACCTGCGAAAAAGAGATTTCATGATTCGATATTTAATTATTTAAAACAATCTTCCATGACACTTACCTTTAAGTGTAATAGTTTTCCATAATTCTGGTCTCCATACCAATGAATCGAATCGTTTGCACACTCTCGAAACGTTACTCAAATTGGTGCTCTCCAGCCACGAGAATACCTTAATGCAAAGGTCATCCGATAGTCTATTGAAAACGTTATCATTCTTATTGCGGCCCCGCGTGTGTGACAAAGGCTGTGAATTGTTATTAGCTACCGCCGAAATGGAGGGAGAATTAAGTGTGTGATAGCCTTGATCGAAACTCGGTGAAAATCGACCTAATCTCGACGAAATGCCGTCCATTAAAATATTTCCGTTGCTCGACGCTGGTATTCTTTGATGATTGCTCAAGTAATTGTACGCATTTCTTGCAATGCTCAATGCAGGTGCAGGTGATTCTTGTGACGTGCGTTCTAATAAATATCGATCCGATTCGCTAGTCTCACTGGGGCTCGATGGTCGTTGAATGAATCGTGCCGTCGGTCTGCTCAATTTCAAACGACTATCACCATACTCAAAGTCAAAGGCACGTTCGGTCTTCGCAAATGGGTACGTACTAATCCGTTCAGCTGTATGCGTGTCATGCACATACATTGAACGCATTTTATTCTCCAAAAAATATGGTTCTACACAATCAATGGTTTGATTGTACGTGCTCATTGCCGATTTTGTTCGGCAATTTCGCATTAATAGTCGATCGTTTCGTTTATGTGCAATATTCAGAATATTTTCATTTGGTTCGCTATTATCTTCGCTTTCCTTTTGATGATAGTTCGATGCGCTGTCTGATTCGCCCGCCGTCGACAGGCATTGCAATGGATTTCTGTAGATATTTACATAATCGCTGGTATCATTATGATTATGATTGATGGCCGAACTTAAATGTGACACATCTTCGGTGGATTTGACGGAATCGTCTGTTTCATGCATGGCCATCGAAAATTGAATTAATCCATCGGCTCCGATGTTCAGTATTGGCGATTTTCGTGACGATAGTTGATAATCATTTGGATTGAGTGGACTTGAGCTAAGTGGATGCCGGTATTGATGTTCCGATGGCATATTATGGCCCAATGACGCCAACGGACACTCAATCGGCGGTGCACGTCGATGAGACATCTTGTTTTACTCTCGTATTAGTTCTGTAAAAAGTCGGAAGAATGAAAAGAAATTAGTGTTTATTTTATGCATTGGTTCACTGAATACCCTAAACTTTTACTTTGTTCTGTTTCAAAGGGCTCGCTCTCAGAAGAAGAAAAAACGCATAAATGTAAATGGCACTTGAAAGTTTCGTCGAATGTAATTCACAATGGACATGAGTTCGGAGTGTTTCATTTGCGGTTTGCTTTTCTTTGGGACTTCAAGTGTTCGCTCACGAAACAATCATTCTCAAATGATTAATTGACACAACGTAGTTCGAAAATGAAAAGAACGGATAAAAAATGATGACTTCAAATGAGAGCTTCGATTGTATCGTGATCCAGTGATTAAGTATAAAAACACACACACACTCGACGAATAACTTTTTGACTATAGGTTCAAATCTCACTTGATTTGTGAGCCGCTGTATATACTGTATATACAATGTGAAATGGTCATCGAAATTCAATCGATCTAAAAATTGAAATTCGCTTTGACGTCCGAACATTTCTCCAGCCAGAAACGAACTGACGTAAAAAACAGAAACAAAAAATTAGTAAGCTGATAGTTTCTAGGAACGGTGTGACGAAGAGGAGAAAAAAAGGTGAATGAATGATAAAGCAGAAGAATAAATGTGCGTGTAAACATCAAGTCAATTTAGAATAATAAATAATAAATTTTGAATTGGAATATCACAACGAAACAACAAAACATTTAATAAACACCGATCGCACCCGATGCATCGTCGCGATAAGTGAGTTCTATCCAGTGAGTGTGTATCGATCGGTTCGTTTCCACAATGCCACATGGAAATAACATGAAATTACATATCTTCAGTTGTCTTTATTTTGTTTTCATTTTAATATTTAAAATTTATATTTAAAGAGAAATGAGAAAGAGAGACAGAGAAAGAGTGAAAAGGTCTTTTTCGTTATGAATAAAGATGAATTGAAGCAGTGCGACAACGGCAACTTTTCGATGTGTTTAAACTCGTTTTTGAGACTCTCAAACCGAATGAAGAAAAAACGCAACATCTCTGCGGTATTTCTCTCTCTCTCTCTCTCTCTCTCTCTCTATCTCTCTCTCTCTCTCTCGTTTGACCGAAGCGATTAAAAAGCCTAGCTCTCAGTTGGATTAGTAAAAAAAAAGCAGCCATGGCACCGAACCGAAGATAGAAACAGCATCATACTTGAGTGCTAACAAGTTTTTTTTTCCATTCGCTTCGATGTGCTCTTTGCCAAGCACAAGTGTTAAAATTATACCAAATATCGAATGGTAATGAGACCGATTTGTGAACACCGTACTGATACACGCGCTTTGGTCGCACGCAGCATCGACCACATCAGAGTTTCTCTCCCTCTCTCACTCTCTCAATCTCATTCGTGCATTCGACTTAAGCTCGGAAAATATTGGTACGGTTTTAGCGAGTTTTGCATGCGAATTGGCGACACTGGACTCAAACACACGCAGATAGAAAGGGAGAGAAACAAATAACACATCGCTATAAATGGCTTTTGACCACGGTAGAAAATGCACGTAAAGTGCGAAGAGAGAACGCCAAACAGTAATGTGTCCAATAAAAAATTTAAATTTATTGAAAAAATGGCTCGGTGCGCGCTCGCATCAATATTATTTTTATTGGGAAATAATCGGATCCAAATGAGCATCCAATATCAGTGATGGAGTGAATATTTTTACGTGGCTGACTTGGTCATTTAGCTCATACATATCTTTCGCACTTTCTTCTTTATCCACCCATTCGTCCGCTTGTGTGCGCGCTGGCTGGCTAGTAAGCTCACTTCTCATCTCCATCACCGCACATCACCGCACATCACATCATTTGCTTGTGCATATTTTGCTTTTTTCTTCTTCTTCTCTCTTTCTCTATCTCTTTTATTTCTTTTCTGGAAATGTTATTGTCGTTCCTCGTTTCGTTTAAACTTCTTCTCATTTTTTATATTTTCTTTATTGGACAAAAAATAACACGCTAAGATAACCATAACTTATAGAGTTTTAAGAGAAAAACAACAACAACAACACCACCACCAACAACATCATCAAAATTAGTCATTCGGAAGAAGAAGAAAAAAAAAGTTCTACGAAAAAATAAATAAATGTTACTTTTGCAACACTGCGGTGCAGAGCGTAACAAACATTATTGGAATTCCGTTTGAAAAGTGACAAAATATTTTATCGTCACATGCAAATTGCTTGTGCTTTTATTCGTCTACTTTTTTGTCTACTTATTGTTTCGGTAAAATATCATTTTGTCCACGAACCATTTGCGTGCATTGTGAGTTGACGCGCATTTACCAAACACACACACAATTTATTGATTCCTCCAAATTTTGTCAGAAATTCTTTTGCTTTCGCTCGCTCACTCACTCGTGCGCTCATTCATACGCACACAATTTTTATTGATGAAATTCAAACGAAAGACAGATATACATTTAATTTTGTGGTCGCTTAAAATTCTCGTCTCTCTAAATATTACCGTTTCTGGGTGTGAAATCGTCATTAAGACCAACACGTTTGCGCATGTAAACTATATGGTCTCATGAAAAGATATTATTTATTCGACAACCACACAACGAAATAGTCATGGAGAGCGCGAGCAACACAAGAGACAAGAGAGAAAGACGGCAAGAACGAAATAATAAAAGAAATGGAAAAAAATGCGCTGCGCTTCAATTCAACTAAATATGAATAATAAAATAAACACAATTTAGAGTATAAAATGGATAATAAGAATGTTGCAATGAGATTCTTAATGAAGATTTATGGCCTGTTAAGGAATTGAGATGAGAGAATGCAACGCCCTATGATCCCCCGTACCGTATTCAGCTAAAACCGAACTACTCACTTTCTCACACCGAAATTATCTCTGTTCGCTTGCTACGCTATGTCTTGGTCGCTCTTGTTGTAACCATTTCCAGACATACTGAAAATGTTATGCATATTTCGACCGAAAACAATGCGAGTGGTCGCATTTCATGTGCCAAATCTACAGCGCAGAAGAAACGTGCACACGATACGATACGATACGACATGACTCGTTTTTAGGAATTTGCAGTTTTGTGTATTTGTTCTCATTTGTCTTTTGCGAGTGGAGAGAAGAAAATCTGTTGTTGATAAAACCGAAAATTCCATTGAAACCAGTTCAGTGTTCAGGAGTGAGCGTATGAAAAGTGCGTGTTTTTTTTCAAGCGATTACATCAAAATGGACCAGTTGTTGACGATTCTTTTGCGCTCCCTCTCTCGCTCGCTCAGTTCATTTCGAGTGTGCATTGAAGTATTTTGATATGACAACGAGACATTAAACCCACTATCTGTCCGCTATTGCTTGCGGATTAAATACGATTACATACAAACCGACTTGTAATAATTAAATGCGCTGATTTATGAGGCTTTTCTATTCTTTGCCCACTGTCCATTTTTCTGGCACGAAATGCAAATCCAAAACCATTTAATTCCATGCAACACACACACATACTTTGCATATTTATTCGTGCGCTGTTGTGCGACAACGAAAGCGAAAATATTTGCTCATAATTCGCAATGCTCTCAATATGCCAGATGTGGTGAGCCTGGCTATACAGACACGACTATTCAGACGCTTAATCTCTTGGAATGAAACTTGTCGAGGTTGTGAGTCGGCTTTCAGCAAATATTGGTATTTTGCCTCTATTTTCCTATTCTGGTCCATTCACTCATTTTTAGAAATCGACAGCTCGTTCATTAATCTTGCTCTGAAATCGCTTTTTTTAGTCAGCGGTTTCGAATGTTTCCGTTTAATGCCACCATTTAATTTTATCGATGGTGAAAATGAGTTTGATTTGAAAGGGTTTTTTTTTCTTTTCTTGCTCTCTCTCTCCCTCCCTCTCTATCTCTTTATTTCAATTTTACGAAAGCTCGAAAGGTTACGATTTTATTTCTAACTCGTAAATGTAATAATCACTATAAAAATGGAAGCATAAACACTAATCTCATGGTGGCACTTACATCTCACACAAAATGAACATAAATCAATGTGGTATTTTTTCGGTATTTCATAGATAAGGTCGTCATTTAACACAATGGTAATTTGAACTCAACCCAGCTAATGATGGTGTGATTTTGAGGTGAGATTAAATGACGGCGAGAATGAAAAGTAAAAGGACATTCCAGAGAAGAAGAAGAAGAAGAAAAAATGGGAAAATAATCGAGCGATCCAGGTAAGAAATAAAAAATCACCTCCATCCCATTCATCGAGAGCAACAAGAAAAATGAGACGAAAAGGGAAACCATAGCATGTCAAGAAAAAAAATCAATTCGGTGCATACGTGCACGAATGCAATCCAAACATCACATCAACATTTGGGGAATTTTCCTTTTCGGTTGTTATGCCGCATTTAATTTCATTTTAATTTTCTATAAATTTCAACATCGATCGAAATAAACAATAAATATCAAATAAGTGTTCCGTATGCATGGCCACGACAGTAAGGTAGAAGTAGAAGAAAAAATGGAGAGAGAGAGAGAGAGAAAACCCATAGACATATAGCAGTCACGATCAGATTTGAGAGAATAGGCAACAAAAAGTGAAATGTTACACGAGATATAACATTGATGGCTGACATTATTCCGTGACAGACACATGCATTGGGATTGAAAACGATTTGGCTTAGCCGCCAGCTCTCTGTTGAAAAGTTGACGTTATTCTCCTTTTATTGTTGATTGTGTCCATCATGTTCGTTCGCCTAGGAATACACACAATCGCATAGATTCAGTGTGTGGCTTACGAACGAGTTACCAAAATAAACTCCGAATAAAAGCTTCATAAAAAAAGTAACGTTTTTTTTTCCTTATTCTTCGGTTGGTCGTCGACGACGACGTCTCCGTTGCTGTTATTATTGTTGTTGTTTTTGTCATCGTCGTCTAAAGAGAAAGAAATTTACTACAACCAACACACGCAACGTTTTCAGGCATTTTTTATTTATGTGCGTTTCATTTAGTGGAACGCAAAAGGCAAACAAGAAGTGTTGTGTAAGGAATGATTTCATAAAGAATATAGATGTGTGTATATGCGGACACAGAAACTACAAAATCTGAGTACTAACAAACAAAATCGTAAATACGGTAAATACTAAATCTAAATTCGATGCGAACAACGTGAACGTAAAATGGTGGAAATGCGAGAAAAGACGAAGCATTGAAATATGATAACAACGATGGCAAAACGTCGACCGACACCGAAACCGAACCAAAACCAAACCACAAAGGGGGCCTGCAAACGTGGATGTGACTACATTTTATACGGTACTTCAAATTACCACAGATTGTGTGAATGAATGAGCGGGCGAGCCAAAGCCAAGTCTATGCAATGACGACGACAACAACAACAAAATTATTCACAATAACATAAAACCCAGGCAACAATGACAACGCCATCACAAAAACCCAATCTCTGGAGCCAGCCAAATAAGTGGTAACTACTTCATAGATCATGATTATGTATATTACACATCCATTGTGTATGGGCCCAACAACGTTCACATCGCGCGCGCAAACACCACGAAAAATGAAACAAATTCAATTGATTTCTTTTCGAATTGGGAGAAGAATGAACGAAAAAAAAGAAGCGGACGGTTTTTTTTTATTTTGTGGTTTTATGAACAGCTTTTGTTTGTTCGTTTTTAATTCCGAATGAGACACGAGAAAGAGTTGATTTTGGATTTGGTCAATGATTTCATTATTTGTGAATTTCCTTTGCGATGCAAAATGTGGTGTTGTTGTGCCATTACCATTGTCGCTTGTCGTTTCGGTTCTTTTTTTTCTACATATACATATATTCGAAATGTGTACGGAATGTAATAAAAATGTTGTTCAATGCTTACTTCACTTCATAAATTTAAAGACAGTTCCACCGCTTTTCTGATGCCTTCTTTTTTCTTGCCTCTCCCTGTCGCTGTGTCTCGGCTGTTTTTGCATTTACTCTTAGCCACTCCAACCGATGACCGATACCGACGATAACACGGATGGCTGCGACACCAATTTTCGACAAATTGAATGGAAATATTTTTGCGGCCGCCGTTCGTTTTATTTTTATTTTATCTTTTTTCGTTTGCTTTTATTCAATTCCCAATCCGATTTGGTTAAATGTGCAACGGAATTTCATATGCAAATTAATCGAACAGAGTCACACACACACACTTCCACTATGTAAAATTCTTTCTTTGACGCGCACTCGCTATTGACTTTTCTGTCTTGCGAGAGAGAGAATTCAAGAGAAAAAAAAAGAAAAACGGGGCACACTGTCGGAGACTCCACGCACCACACTCTCAAATCGATATTGATTCATTCAGGTTCTTTTGTCGTTCAATTCTTTCACTCACACTTTAGATTGGTTGCGATTCCGGCTTCACTACAATTTTCTTTTCCCATGTACGTAGATATTATTGATTCGACCGCACAAATCTGTGACGAAACACCATAAAATTCACGATTTTATGCCAAACACACGCAGCAACCGTAATTGTAATGAAACACTTCGAAGCGATAAAATGAAAATAGTTTTTCGTTATGTTGAATGGGCTAGCAAAAATGTCTTGTTTATCTTAGCTTAGCTTAGCAGCAGCAGCAGCAACAGCCGTACAATACACACAGCATATTCACATTTTATTCGTCTATGTGCGCGATCATTCGACGAGTGGACGAAGGTGACGATGACGACGACGACGATAAAAGCGATCAAACGACATGCATCGGCATCGACAATATTTTTCTGTATGAATTGTGTACACGGTGTGTGTGTGCTCCGTGTACTCGGTCGTTCCACACGCTCTCTCTCTCTCTCTCTGTTGCTCTCTATCTCGGTTGGTACGTTGTGCAATAACACATACCAAAATCCAAAAACCATTTAAAACCACTGAAAATGCATTTTCATATCGCTTGGCACACACGCTGTGGCATTGATCGTTCCCACTTCATCCAATTGCGGTGCACTGTTGGCCGTCTCTTTTCCTTTCGGGAAATAATGAATACGTACAAGTACAATGGCCTATCGAGTACACAAATCGCGAATGCACGCGCGCGCGCACACACCGCACATGAACGACGAAGTGAAAACAAAACAGATGAATTGAAGAGAAAAAAAAATATGTGTATATATACGACACATAGCACACACTGTACACACAACACGATGATGATGACGACGACGACTCTGCGATGAAGAAGGGAAAATGATGCATCCAAGACAAAACTCGGCGTAGCACAGCGAATGCACAGCGCGACCAGCCACACGGCTAATATGACTCCAGTATAAACGTCGTTTATATATTTTATATGTATATTTTTATTAAAATAATAAATTGTAATAATAACACAAATACATGTAGCAAATCGCACGATCACTCAACTCTTCGTTCACTTGGATTTTCTTCAATGTTTTTTCTTCTTTCCTGTCTCTCTCTCTCTCTTCTTTCATTGCATTATTATTTCTGCGTAAAAATGAACAACACACAGTGTCTGTTTTTATATATATTTTTTTTTTCTTCTCCTTCTTTATTTTGTTTTTCTACATTATTTTCCTTTTATTCTTTTGTTTGGGAGAAGAGTCTCTGTCTCGCATCGATCGCTGATCTTTAACTTAACTTCACATATTTTAAACACTATTTACATGGTACATTGCAGATGAGCAAGCAGGCAAAAGTAGCAGAAGTAACCACTTCGCGTAAGCATCGTGCACATTCAGCTGTTGTTGTTGTTGTTGTCGTCGTCGTAGTCGCTACTATTTCATTAAATTGTTCGCCGTGGTGAGCAGCAGTGAGAGAGCTCACAGTTGCAGTGTGCAATCGTTGTTTTTTTTCTGTTGCCTTTTTCGCCTCTTGCTCTCTTTCTGCAGCCAACAACGAAAACGCAGGAAATAAATGCAAGCGAGAGAGAGATATATGCCAATATAGAAAAATATATATCCACGACAAATAAATGACGATGAAACGAATAAGAAGAATGAGCCCACGACACGAATAATGAAGCACAGAGAAAAGAGAATACTCCAAAACTTTACTCCGTACTTGTTATTTTTTGTTGTGCACTGTGTAGCGGTAGCCAAAACGACAGCAGCAGCAGCAAACGATGCGATGGAGAGGAATAAAAAATATACAGCACTCAATCGCCTCAGGTCTCCGTTCGAACTGAATATTTTTCTTGTGAACATGAGTTCTTTGGTCTCAGCACGATCTCGAATTCCGATCGGTGAGCTGGTGTGCGTGTGCGTGTACGGTCTTATGTCAGCATGTGTTGGCCTACGTGTATGTGTGTGTGTGTGAGTGTAAATGATCAAATGCATTTTTCATGGTATCACACTAGAGTGCAAAGAGAAAGACGAGAACGAACGTACACACAAACACTGTCATCGTACGGTTTTAATGGTTCAAGAGAAGAGGTGAGATCGACAGCACACTGCAACCGACCCGCACCAAAATACACACGATCATTCCCATGCGAGCACGATGGGAATGAGCGCTCTGTGAACGTTATTCGTGTATGTGTGTTATAACCATTACAACAAGAGCATCAATTTCACCAACAAGAACAAGCAGCCGAAATAAGGCGAACGTTGTGCAAGAGCCACCGAATAAGCGAGAATGAATGTGGCACAAAAGCAAATCATCGTTTTGTGTGTATACAAGTGGAGCCACAGCACGTAAGCAGCAATCATCGTCACACAAAGAATCGAGCATATTTCCAAATGTTGTGTGCTGCGCGGTGATGTGGTCCGTTGTCGTCGTCGTCGTCGTCATCATCGTCATCGTTGTCGTCGCTAGATCGCGCATACATGCTCTTGTGATTGAGGTGTGCGCTTGTCTGTCGGTCCTTTCTATTCTATTTGTTGTATTACATTATGCCTTTCGTTCACATTTTCTTTCTCTCTTTCGTTTGTTCGTTTGTTCGTCGTTCGATGCGTTTTTCTTTCTCTCTCTTTCTCTCGAAAATGCACAATGTGATTGTGTACCGTTTATCAAAATATGCCAAGAATGTTTGTCACACAACCGAACAAAACCCGAACCCAACAATCAGGTTGATTTTTTAATTACTGGCCGCGTGTGTGTTGAAAGCGATTTCTTGGAATGGAAGTCAGTTGCATATTGTGTGTGAGTGCGCCTTTATCATGCTATCTATGTTATACATTCACTGTGTTCGGAATGGAAAGGATCGGACGAATTGAAAGCCAAAATTAACCGGATTTCATGCATTTAACAAATGAAACATTTTTAATTACTTCATGCATCATGCTTAATGCTCTTCTTGTCTACCTAATCGCGGATCCTTTGAAATCGACTGCTTTTTCGGAATTCGTTTTTGATTTTATTCGTTCCAACAAAATCGTTGATCCTTTGAATCTTTGCAACCTTTTCAACTTGACCGAATTAATTTCTCATTCAAACACGACAATAGCCTGACGGTGATGGGATTTATTTAAGACTACTTTTGTGTTCTTTTGCATACAATTAATGGATTTATTCGTTCACAAAATGCCATCCATCGTTTCCTCTGTTATCAATTCGGTTGACACTGGTAGAAATTGTTCAATTTGTAGTCAATTCCCATTTAATCGCCACTGAATGAGTTTCAATCGTAGTAATTTCATCGTTCAGTGTTCACATCCGCATGCTCAATGAGCAACATAAAGTCCTTTTTATGGCATTTTTCCGAGTATCTTTCGGTTTTATTTGTGTGCTGGTTTGTTTGATGAGTCAATATTAGCTCTGCGGAAAGTATTGGTCGTTCAATGGAACAGAAAATAAGAACCAAAGGAAATGAATAAAATAGCCACAATCCACGACACACCAGCGCACAAGTGTAATTACATTCCTTTTTTTCCCTCTAACTCTCTATTGATTTAATGGGTTTTCAAGGAAAAAGTAGGAGAGTCGGCTTCGAGCGATTTTCAACTTCAAATATTTGAGGAATGCTTGTAAACCGCTCACAGACTGCATTACAGATACGACACAGCACATTTTTTCCACTGAACACCGAGCGGAAAAAAACAACGCAAACAAAATCGGTCGTTAAATTCAAAGAACCAAAGTCAAAAACGTGTGAATTATTGAAATTGAACAAAAGAGCCTAACGGAACATCGTTTTTTTTTAATTTTCGGGGCGACATGCGTTTGTATCATCATTTTCACATTATCACAACCAACAACAACAATAACACCACCCAAACAAAATAACAATATCTCAAATGTTGGGAAGAAAATTGCGATTGACGATGATGCATCAGAAGAAGCGATTTAAATGTTAATTTTAAACGTTGATCGCATTTCAATCGCAACAAAACGAAGAAGAAGAAAGAAAAAAACTTCAAGCTAACCCAATCATTTCATCCATCTCTAATGTGATTTGCACGACGAGAGAAAGAAAAGGGCATATCTACTCTATAATAGTGGCTGCGAGCTAAGTGAAAATAAATCATATTACATGAAATTGATGAGGAAACCTTGAAATCGTGAAGGAGAGAAAATGTGTGTGTGTGTGCGTCGCAGCGCTACTTTTAGCATTCTTGCAGCGATTTCCATGGCGATTTTTCGTTGTTTTTAATTTTTGTGTGCGATGCACGCGGCCACATAATTTGTGGCTGTTAACACGGGGAAAATGGTATAAACGTGAGTTGAAATTGTACAATGTGAAATGTGTGTTGGATACATGGCATTTTTATATATATTGTGTATCGATTCGATGGGATTCGATGCGTACATGAGATGAGTGAGCGGGCGAATAAGCGAGCCCAGCCATCCAGCGAGCGAACAAACGAAGGAATGAATCAAGCAGCGAACGAGAGAGATTTGTTGCTGCTTCTCAGTAAGCGCTATTGCATTTTATCCGATTGATGAGAATCACCCATCTCTCTCAATGTGCAATTTCTTCCAGTAGATATGTATGTTATATATCGCGCATTTTTTCGCTTTTCATACCTGGAGCGGCATCATCATCAGCAACAGCAGCAGCAAGAGAAACCAACGACAACAGCAGCAGAAGCAGCAATAGTAGCATGTATACACGATATCTCTACACGTTGCTGCGTAACATAATTATTGTATGCATTTTGTTTACCATTTTTGCTGTTGCCGTTTTCAGCGCGATTCGGTTCGCTCATTATTTTCTCACTCGATGCACAATTGTGAAAATTGTGCACAAGATATGTTCTATGTGCATGTTGCTTTTTTTCACTTAAAGACCTATTCTTACAAAATGGTTCGCCATTGTGTGTGTGCCACTGCCAGCGCACAGCGCACAAGAACAACCAGCATCTTTCATTGTTTTCAGATCATATGATTTGTTCGTTTCATTTTCGAAACAATAGAATATTGATTGGAAGCAATTATCTCGAATGATTTTTGTCATGCGCTCGAATTCTGATTGACTCTCAAAATAGACAAGAGTTTCCGTTAGTTAAAATGAAAATTGGCAATGGTGACAAGTGTTGTTTTGTGACACGTTTTGCTCAAGCTACGTGCTGTGCTGTTGCTGAGTTCGTTGGCCGTTCTTTTTGCGTTCTCTCCGGAGTCTTTTTTTTCTTCAAATATTATCGGTAAATATGTCAAAATGCACTTTTATACGATTTAATGGCCGATTTGTGGCTATTGGCCATTTAAAATTACAGCTTCAAGCCGAGTGTGCAAGATGCGAAACAGATATAATTTCTTTGAAATAAAAAAAAAAAAATTGGTCGCTGTGCAGATTGAAGCAAGTGATATGCTGACGCCTAAGCCATTTGCTAAACTGTTTGCTTTGGTAATTTTCTTTGCTCAATGAAAGAAGAAAAAAAAAAGAGATCTGTATATATCGAGATGCATTTAGTCGCGTACGTATTCGCGCATTGATTTATCTCATTTCCAAGTAAAACGATTTCACAAGAATATATGTATCGACGGCCACAGCATTCACAACGACAAAACGAAAATGGCTTTTAGAGACCAAGATCCCCTGACGCGTTGGAATTGTCAGCAGGAATGTTGATTGCCAATGATTTTTTGATGTATCTGTAGCAAGTGAGCGAGACAGAGAGCGAGCGCAAAAGTGAGGCGGCTGCTGCTGCTGTTGTCGCCGCTGCTTCCATCCACTGAGCTGGAAATGAGAATGAACGACACTCAGGCATCAATACCGCTGCTGCTGTTGCTGCATAGTAATATGTCATCAATTAGTGGCCGCTTGTTCTTGTCGCTTTGATTCCATTCTCTGAATGGCTGTTGGCCATTTTCGTGAGAGTGATGTGCTGCACCGTGCAATTCGAATGCTTCGCGAATACCGCAAAGAAGCGAATAAATTACGAAACATATGTAATTCTTAACATAACGAACTCACAATCGCAATTCATATTATCTGTGTGTCGTTTCAAGTGCCTCTCCGTCAATGTCACACGCACTGCAATCCGCAATTGCGATTCCGAACCGTTGCTCTGACCAAACGTTCAATTCGATATCTCGTGTCACTGTGATGCCGATGAGTTTGGATTTGTTTTTTTTTTTTTTGGTGAATTGTCAAAGGAGAGCTTGATTCATGCACCATATGTAGAGCACAAAGTTAGCCATCACTGGCTATTTGGCTCGCACACTGTCGAACATTCGAATATATATTGACCGAAAGGCCATAATAGTATTTGTAAGCAAACTCGTATGAATGCTAAAGGGGCGAAAGGACTCAAACGGAACAATGTTTCAACAAAGAAAATCATTTCATTTATTAAGCTGTCAAAAATACAAATAACATTTTTGAGATTTTTATTCACTTCCATTTGAAAATGGTATGAGAAAAAAAATTCAACCGAAAACATTCACATTTCTACTACTTATAGAGAAATATGCACGTTTTGTCGTTTTCCCATCGGAGAATTTCTTGTACATTTCTGTCTGATTGAGGAATTGTGGAAATGCATGTGTTTTTTTTTTCTCTCCAACCAAACAATATGTTATCTAAACAATTTCGCAGAAATCCGATATAAATCTTTTGCTCTGTTGTGTTTCCTGGCATCTTTGAATGTAAACATTATCTCAAAATGTTTGAATGTCTGCATAAGTTTGGCGTCGGTGTGTACGAGTTTCTGTAGTTTGGGGAAATTGACTTAGCCTTTGCTCAATATTCGAAATTGATGCAATTTGTCGAGTAAGAGAGTTTGAATCGAATTTCTCATCG